TCCTAAGTGTCCTCTCCTGCCAGGTAGAGCCTGCTCTTCACCATTGTATATGCCTGAGTTGCGGGCAATGAAGCAGGCTGAGAGATGATTAGAGTGCAGCTGGAGGAAATAATGGGATGAATCTGATCAAACACACGTGCTCTTTATTTATTGATTGAATTAAAACATTTATATGCCATCCCTTATGCATGGCTCACAATCACTGCCTACGCTGTGGTGGTGAGGGCAGCGAAGAAGCAATTTTTCTCCGCTTCTGTTGCCTCCTCACAATGCCGTCCAGTGGAGCTTTTTCGGTTGGGACACGGCCTAAAACACTCCGGCCCTAAAAAGGATCCAGTGGCACCATCAACAGCCCGCTGTGACGATTTTGCCCAGGATTTCAAGGAGAAAATTACTCAGATACTTAACGAGCTGGACTCCAGAGTTGATAGGCTCCAGTATGGGAGGTGTCCAAAGCTCCCGTCTGGTCAATCATTGTTGGATGAATTCCAGTTGTTGCAGCCTGATGAGGTGGACAAGGTGCTTGGACTGGTACGCCCTACCACCTGCTTGCTCGATTGTTGCCCTTCTTGGCTACTTACCAAAGCCAAACGGGATTGGTCCCTGGGTCCAGGAGATTATTAATACCTCTCTGAGGGAGGGCCAGGTCCCTGCCCCTTTGAAGGAGGTGGTGATCAGACCGTCCTGAAGAAGGCATCCCTGGACCCGGAGGTGGCCACCAACTATAGACTGGTGCCCAACATTCCATTCTTGGGCAAGGTATTGGGGCGGGTGGTGGCAGAACAACTCCAGGCACTCTTGGATGAAACTGATCATCTGGACCCATTCCAGTCCAGTTTCAGACCTGGTTACAGTAATGAATCTGCCTTGGTCGCCCTGTGTGTTGCCCTGTTCAGAGAGAGGGATGGGGGAGTGCGTCCCTGTTGGTTCTCCTGGATCTTTCAGCAGCTTTCGATACCATCAGCCATGGTATTCTTCTGGATAGGCTGGGCACGTTGAGAGTTGGAGGCTCTGCTTGGCAGTGGTTCCTCTCCTATCTGACCAGCTGATTCCAGAAGGTGGTGCTGGGGGACTATGGCCCTGTCCCATGGCAACTCTGCCATGGGGTTCCGCAGGGCTCTGTTTTGTCCCCCTTGCTATTTAACATCTACATGAAACCTCTGGGCGAGGTCATCAGGAGGTGTGGGCTGTGGAGTCCACTGTGTACCAGTACGCTGATGACACCCAGATCTACCTCTTTTACTGCTAATTCAGGTGAGGCAGTGCCTGTCCTGAACCGGTGCCTGGACAAAGTGGGCAGTTCAGGTTTTCGGATAAGTGATTTTGGCCCTGGCCTGGATGGGGTAGCACTCCCTCTTAGGGACAAGGTCCGCAGCTTGGGAGTGCTCCTCGACCCAGAGCTGTCCCTGGAGGCCCAGATGGCAGCAGTGGCGAGGAGCACTTTCCTTCAGCTTCAGCTGATCCATCAGCTGCGTCCTTATCTGGACAAGTACTGCCTAGCAACAGTGATACACACTCTGGTAACCTCCCAGTTGGACTATTGTAACATGCTCTACGTGGGGCCGCCCTTGAAGATGATCTGTATTCTTCAACTGGTACGAAATAGAGTTGCCAGGCTGCTGACGGGTTCTCAGACTACGGCCTGTGAGCCAGAAACGCTCCGCCATGCTGATTTATCCAGCCCCCCTCAGAGCTTTTGGACTTGTTCGGAGAAAACGATCTCCAAGCGAGTCCGAAAGCTCTGAGCCGGCACAGCATACTCAGTGGGGAGACGGCCACAATTACGGTCACCCTTATGCAGGGAGGACGGGCACAATCGCGGTCGTGCTTGTGGGGGAGATGGCTGTGATTGTGCCCATCTTCCCTGCACAATCACGATCACATCCATCTCCCCCCCCACCCCCCCAGCACGATCGCGGACATCCTAGCTATGTCCCTTGAATAAGGACATGCTCTTCCCCGCCTCATATTGGACTTCTGCTGCAGCCCAAGCGAGCGGAGCAAACATTTTTAAGTATTTTAATTATTGTTTTAAATTTTAATTAATTTTAATTAATTTTAATTTGCAGTGTGCATAGGAATTCATTTTTTTTTTTCAAACTTTAGTCCGGCCCCCCAACAGTCTGAGGGACAGTGAACTGGCCCCCTGTTTAAAAAGTTTGAAGACTCCTGCCTTAAGATCTGCATCAGAGACCCTGTTCCAGGAACCCTCCTTGAAGGAAGTTAGGAGAGAGTATACTCAGAGGAGAACCTTCTCTGGGGTGGTGCCCCGGCTATGGAATATGCTCCCCAGAGAAGTTTGCCTGGTGCCGACGTTATATGTTTTTTGGCGCCAGGTCCAGACCTTTTTATTTTCCTGTAATTTTAAAGTTTTAATGTTTTAATTATGTTTTATTATCAGTTGTGGATTATTATGTATTATTATTGGTTATTATATGTATTTATTGGGTGTCCTGTTTGTACACTGTCCAGAGACATGTTGTAATCAGATGGGATAAAAATACCCAAACAAACAAACAAAAATTAAAAAATCCATGCTGGCTTGTATTAATCACTGCATTTTCTTCAAGATGCTAGCAGGTGGATTTTTAAAGAATTTGCTCCAGAATTTTTCCAGGGATTTATGTCAGACTAGCTGGTCTATAGTTCCAAGGTTCATCTTTTCCCCATTTTTGAAGATAGGGACATTAGCCCTTCCCCAGTCACCTGGCACTTCTCCTGTTTTCCAAGATGTATCGAAGATAATAGCCAGTGGTTCTGAGAGTTCCTCCGCTAGCTCTTTTATGACTCTGGGATGAAGTTCATCATGCCCTGGAGATTTGAAAGTATTTATCCCACCTATGTATTCCTTGACCATTTGCCTGTCCATCTTGGGCTGCCATATCTCACTTCCAGCTGGAACTTCCTCTTGATTGCAGATTTCCCTGTGGGAGAAGACGGAAGCGAAGTAGGGATTGAGCGCCTCTGCCTTTTCCTTGTCATCTGTTGTCACTCTGCCATCCTCTTTAAGTAGCTGGACACCCTTCTCTTCCTCATGTCTTTTGTTCTGGATGTATCTGAAGAAGGCTTTCTTGTTGTGCTTCGCATCCCTTGCTATTCTTAGTTCATTCTCTGCTTCAGCCTTCCAGATGCAAGTCCTGCAATTCCCTGCTATTTGTTTGTATTTTTCTTTTGTGTCCTGGCCCCACTTCCACTTCCTGTACATGTTCTTTTTTTTCCTTTCAGGCTGACACTTAACCTTCTGTGCAGCCACATGGGCTTCCTCTGCTGTCTTCCACACTTTTTTCTTGATGGAATTGTTTGTAGTTGTGCTTCGAGGATCTTCTTTTTCAAGATTTCCCACCCCTCTTGGACACCTTTCCACTTGCCATGTGTTGCTTATCGTTTTTGTGAGTTTCTTAAAGTCGGCTTTCTTGGAGTCCAGGATGCTTGCTTGGCTCCAGCTACCCTTTGTCTCCTTCACAATTGAGAATTCAGGTATCACACCACCACGTTCCCCCAGAGTCCCCATGGTTGTTATTTTGTCCACCACCCCTTCCCTGTTAGCATTAAATCGAGGATACTGATCCTCTCATTCCTTCCTCTACTTTCTGCTGGAGAAAGTTGTCAGCAACACATGTCAGGAATCTCTTGGTGGTGCCATGCTTGGCAGAATTTGTCTCCCAGCATAAATCAGGGAAACTGAAGTCCCCCATGATGACTACATCTTGGAAATGCTGGCGAGTTGCTATTCAAAGGTTGCCTCCTTGTCCTCTTTTTGATTGGGTGGATGGTAATATATACCAATGACTATGTTTTTCTTATTTTTGCTCCCTTTAAATTTAGCCAGATGCTTTCAATGGGGCTACTAAGTTCCTTTTCTTGAATTTCTGTGCAGATATATGTGTCTCCCCACATATACTACAACTCCACCTCCCTATTTGGCCTTTCTATTTTTCTTGAACAGGCTGTACTCATGAATTGTAGAGTTCCAGTCATGTGAGTCATCCCACCAAGTTTCTGTTATTCCTTTAAAATCATAATTCCCCTCGTGTATTACGAGTTCAAGTTCATGTTGCTTGTTTCCCATACTCCAGGCATTGGTGTAGAGACATCAAAGTTCATTCTTGCTGTGCCTTGGTGTTCTTTCACCAGTCTACGAGACTGGTGCTGGGCCCTGCTTGAGGTTTTTTTCCTCTGTTGAAATGAATAACTCTTTGCCAGGTGATGGTATCCCATGCTGGACATCTCCCTCCCCTGTAGGTTTTAGTGTAAAGTTCTCCCGATGAAGTTTTTCATGTAGTGGCCAAACACCTGCTTCCCGTTCTTTGTGAGGTGCAGCCCATCATTTACTAGTAGTCCATCTTCCTGGAAGCTTCCAGGATTAGTTCCTGCTTGTCTTGGAGGGCATTGGGGAAGAACTCTGCCTGACAGTGTCTTATGCAGCCCTTTTCTGTCTGGTTAAAGCATGACTCCTCCTCTGCTCAGAGTCTGGAAACAGGCTGCTGTGGCCAGGCTGGGCTTTCCACCAGTAGGTACCCCTGTGCACCTGTAACAGTCATCCCTACCTCCCCTCTAATGTGGCTAACCCCATGCCCAAGAATGAGGAAAACCCTGTTTTACCTATCCTCAGTTCTGTTCTGCTTACCTGGACATTTCTTTTGCAGTTACTAAATTTATGTGTATTTGCACTCCCATCCCTGGGCTCAGTGGCTTGGAGTGACCCTTTCTGATTGGGATCTCTCTCTTGTGACACTTTACAGAGGCTAGTCAGTGTGGATGGTAGACACTTAGGGGTTCAGTTACAAGCAGCAAGTGTTGTTTTCCATTTTGGGATTAGATTCAGATTTTCTAACTAGGTTTTCTTTTAAGAAAAAGTGAAATCATTGACTTTGACCAGCCAGCCAAGGCTGGCTCAGAGAGTCAAACGGGGGAATGACGCAGTCAGTCTTCCTCCTGCCGTGCATTATGGGGGCAGCAAGCATCTTGTGATGCTGTATCTCCTTCGTCTTTCCCTTCAGCACTTCAGCCATGTCCCTTCTGTATGAATGTGTGAACACAGTGATAGCAGGTAAGAGCAAACCTTTCCAGATACCTCCTCTTCTTTCTGTTTTATGTGCTTAAGAGAAAAGCAGGCTGTGGTCTAAACCTGTGCATTCTTTTCTAGTTTTGATCTCTCTCTCGTCTGGGATGCCCAACCACAGTGCCAGCATCCAGGTACAGTCCTTCTCTTTGGGGTGCCTTGCCTTGCCTTGCCTTGCCTTTCCTGCTTTGAGTCCACTGCATTGTGTCAGTGTCACTGCTGGGAAAGACACATTCAGATGCGATCCACCCTGAAATGCACAGAGCAAGAGACTAGCGGCAGGGGAAGGCCAGATGCCTTGAATTATGTGCGAAATTCAGGCAGTCGTCACTCACGGGCTGCAGAAGGGTTGTCTGCTGTGTTAATTATGAACAATACTTCATGGTCAGATGCAGGGTAGCTCTGACTGCTGGGTGCCAGGGACAAAATTGAAAGAGTGCTTGAAGGAAAGGTATGTCCCCAACTCCCCACTGTGATTGCTAAATGTAGCCAAGGACTCCTGTTGGCTTCCTGACAGCATCTTGAATAGCCACTGTGGGCATCAAGGATGCTGGGCCAGATAGACCTGCCCTCCCCAACTGGTTGCCTGCCAGATGTTTGGAACGTCTGTTTCTTCAGCCTCAGCCAGCACAGATAATAGTCATGAACTCTGGAAGAGATCGTTCAAAACATCTGGAGGACACCAGCCTGCAGAAGGCTGAGATGGGCCTTGTGGGTCTGGCTCAGCACTGTACAGTTCCATTTTTAGGCTGCATTCACTGCAGTATCCAGTAGCCAAAATGCACCATTGCTTTCCTTTCCTAGCTGCAGGGTGCTATCGGCTTGCACAACTTAGAGCAGGTGCTGCTGCTTAGGAAGGTGGGTTTGTGCGACTGCAGGCCTGCCTGTTCTGTCTGTCAGAGGGGCTGTTGCATCGGCCTTCCAGTACTTGCAGGAGTCACTGGCACTTCCGTGGACCTCAGAGGACTTTTTTTTTTTTTTTGTAAGGTTCTGGTGGTTGAGATGGCAGGGAAGACCTCCCTCTGTCTTGCAGAGGTGGCTGACTGCGTGTCTTTTCTTTGCAGCTCTGCGTTCAGAAACTGCGGATCCTGATAGAAGATTCAGACCAGAACTGTAAGTGTGAGGGCTTCTGCCACCCCTAGTGAAATCTGTAGCAGTTGAGTCCATGTGCCAGGGACAGTATTAAAATCCCAAATAATATGAACTACGCAACTGAAAAACTACGCAAATGGTGATGGGGGCAAGGAACTCTGCAAGGTCCTGAGGCTGTTACCATGACGCAACAGCCCACCACCATTTCTTTAACCATGGTGAGGCTGTGGTGCATGTGGCCACCGTTCTGAATGCGCCATCCTTTGTCTCCCAAACCTGGTCACTGAAGGTTCTCTGGCCTTTCCATGGACTTCTAAGATCCACTGGATAGATGGTGCCTCACATCTCTTTAATAGTAAGGACCAGAAGCATGTCTTTAAATCAAACACCAAAAAAGTTGAGATTTTCAGAGGGTTCCTGCATACCTGCAGCATCTCCTCAGCCCTGCCCATGATCTGGATAACAAGAGGTGCACGAGGACATGAAACAGGATAGGAATTAGCGGGGGATGGCCTGGGAGGATGAGAAACCCTCAGTAAAGGCTCAAAGGGAAAGGAATGAGAGGCAGGGAGAGATAAGAAACGGGACACTTTCCGTGATGCCGACAGCCTGCAAAGCACTGCTCAGCACTTGCTTTTGTAGCCATCTGGCAGTCCATGCACCCCAAAACTCTCCTATGCCACAAACTGGCAAGCTGTTCTGAGGCAGGACTGGAGGCACCTCCCTCCGCTTTGCTAGGGCTGTCCTTCACCCACACAGTTCTGGCTTCAGCCCCCAGCCTCTGCAAGGAGGCCTGGGGAAGTCCATGCCTGAAATTGGAGGGCCACTGCTGTTCAGACCATCCCAGGGTAAGTCGATCAAGTGTTTAAGCGATGTTTCTCCTGCCTCCACAGCGAATGGGCATAGATTTGCTGCCGGGCCCAGCAGTCCAGTTCTAATCAGTTTAATCTCCCCAGTTCCGCCCAAGGTCACTTTCAGTCTCCAGCTTCTGAATTGATCTTGTGTATATTGATCTTGTCAGCAACCTTGCAAGGCATCACTGTGTGAACTCTCACTTTTCTTCTTCCTGATCCCCAGTGAAGTATTTGGGACTGCTGGCCATGTCCAAAATCCTGAAAACCCATCCTAAATCAGTACAGTCTCATAAGGATCTCATCCTCCAGTGCCTGGACGACAAGGATGAGTCCATTCGCCTCCGAGCCTTGGACCTCCTCTATGGAATGGTATGTTTGCCCATACCTGCAGTATCCTGGTGATTTTTTTTTAATCCACTTAATCTTGAAAGCAAAAATAGGAGCAATATACTTGAAGAAGGGAGAAGATGGTAAAAAGAGCATCTTGCTGGAAAGCTTTAGGGCAGTACAGCAAGGAAGCCATTCCTTGGGGAAAGGGAACAGTCTGGTGGGTTAAAAGCCTGCTGGAATAGAAATAGCCCGCACCCTCCACTGCAGTTCGGTCCCACTTCCTTTGCCTTGCTTGCTTTTGGCCATCCTGCCCGACTGCATCACACGCATCCAGATGCATCCACACGCTAATGCATCTGGCTTGAGTTGTTCCAAGTATCCACGTCTGCCCTGTCAAGAAGCCAAGTCTCGCTGTGTTTCTTTGGCCTCTTCCTGCAGGTATCCAAGAAGAACTTGATGGAAATAGTGAAGAAGCTGATGATCCACGTGGACAAAGCCGAAGGGACCACCTACAGGGACGAGCTGCTGACCAAAATCATCGACATATGCAGCCAGTCGAATTACCAGTACATCACAAACTTCGAATGGTCAGTCTTGCAGAAACACTTCACGCCAGGGGAATGTGAAGTAGCCTACGAAATACTATAATTCTGAGTCCACGAGGGGCATAGCTGAACAGCCGGAGTTCTCTCAGCCTCTGGTGAATGTGGCCTTGCCTTGCTTGTGAGGAGAGCGTGCTGGCTTACGCTTGGGTTGCAAATGGTGCTTGCCTGAATCTGCTTCACCTTTGCTGCCTTACAAGTCCTTCATGACTGAGATATAGATCATGTATATCTATTTCCAATATATATATATATATCATGACTGAGACAGATAGATAGATAGATAGATAGATAGATAGATAGATAGATACCCTGAATATAGATCTGCCCTCGCACCTTTTCCTGCCAAACCAACCATTAACCTCTCTAGTCTTCTTCACTCGCCTTTTTGTGGCTTTTTCCTCTTTTCCTTCTTCCCGCTCTCCTTTCTTCATTGCAGAGCATGATGGCTGCAGGCTAACATTGCTGCATATAAAACCATCATGCTTAGAGCCAAAGTGTTCAGTTCACAGTTAGATGGACTGATTAAAAAAACCCTCTTGAGCAATCAATGTAGCTGAGCAGATGGCCCCAATTAAAAAAAAAAGTATTTTTAGTACAAGTTTTTATTAAAAGCAGCATCACCCAGATAACTTGTCTTTTCTCACACGTAGAAGGGAAACCCTCTTGGGGAATGATTCATGCACAAGCCATCCGAAAAATATCCGCGCTCGCATCTGTAATGCAGCCAGTCACTTGCAACAAACAAGTGCTCCTATAACTGAGTGCTTAAGATTTTTGTACTGGGGTTGCTCCCTCTTTTATTATTTTCCTTGGAGTCTAATTTCATTTAAGTCACGCGCTGCTGCACCATCAGACATGCCTGGCTTTCCGCCAACATCCTCACTATGACTTCCCACCACGAGTTTAACAGTGAATCACATCCTCTCTGCACTTTGTGAAGTCAGTCGTGATCACACTGGCTCTACATTCGGTGCTATGGCTGCTGTTAAAGCCCTTTTGTGGTGGCTGTAACAGCAGTGGGGCCTCAGGCACTGATTGGCTGAGCTGCTCTGATGTCAGAGATTGGTGGGTTAGGCAAAAGGTGGCCACTGGCTGGCTGATTCTGATCCAGAGGGCAAGCCAGGGAGGAGAAAGTAGGGAGGTCCAGAAGGCTGTGATGGAAGGAAGAGACTGGTTTAGGGAGAAGAGCTCGAAAGGAAGTCAAACCAGGGAAGAGTGCGAGGAAAGAGTATGCCATTGTCCTGGAACTGAAAAGATGAAGGCACTAACTTTTGGGGGAAATGGCAGACCAAGATGAAAGTGAGTTGTAGATCTAAAAAGTAGAACAGAGTTTATATCCTGTTCAGAGCCCCCAGTGAAGACTGGCTAGAGGCCTCCTCTTAGGAAGAAATCTCCCCCCACCCTGGGCCTCGTGTTGTTTGCTTGCAAGAGAGCAGCCGCCTCTTTCCCCTGCCTCCAGGTACATCAGCATTCTGGTGGAGCTGACACGACTAGAGGGAACCCGGCACGGCCACCTCATCGCTTCCCAGATGCTCGACGTGGCGATCCGCGTGAAGGCCATCCGCAAGTTTGCAGTGTCGCAGATGGCCATGCTCCTGGACAACGCCCACCTGCTCGCCAGCAACACCCAGAGGAATGGGATTTGCGAGGTGCTGTATGCTGCTGCCTGGATCTGCGGAGAGTTCTCGGAGTAAGTGTTGGGATGGGTGGGGATCCTAGTAGAGGGAGACCATTCCTCGCCTCTCCTGGAAAAGAAGGGGTCAGTAGAGAAAGGTCCCCTAAGCACCTGCCCCCCTCAGGCACCTCGAGGAGCCCCACCAGACCCTCGAAGCCATGCTGCGGCCCAAAGTGACGACTCTCCCAGGCCATATCCAAGCGGTTTATGTGCAGAACATGGTGAAACTGTATGCCTCGATCCTGCAGCAGAAGGAGCAGGCTGAGGAGAAGGAGTCCGCCCAGGAGGCGACCCAGGTGATGATCGAGCGCCTGCCCCAGTTCGTGCAGAGCGCAGACCTGGAGGTCCAGGAGAGGGTGAGTGGAGCCAGGCCAAAACGGCCCTTCAGCCTGGGGTGCAGAACCGTAGGGCTGGATGCCAGAGCTGGGCCACTGGGCCTTCCAGTGTGACCTGTGGGGTGCCCCAGAGGGCCATGCCCAGTCCCCCAACTGCTGAGTGTTGTGTAGTTTCCTGGCCTGAGGAAGCCCATCCAGTAAGACTGAAGTTCCTCTCCTGAGGCTGAGTTCCCAGTAGGAGGAGCTTCAAGTGGCAGCATGCCGGCCTTCCGACCTTAAGCTCTGCCCTTTCAGCAGCTGTCCTGCCCACCCCTGACCGTCGCTCTGGAGCATGCTCTGAAATGACTCTCCCTCTTGGGTGTTTGGCACCCCTGCCTCAAGCGCTGCTCTTCACTGGCCTCTGGCTGGAGCAGCGGCCACTTAGCGAAACCCCTTCTTGCTCCTTAGGCTTCCTGCATCCTTCAGCTCATGAAATACATCCAGAAGCTTCAGATCAAAGAGGTGGCCGTGGCAGAGGAAGTGATTGCCTTGTTTGCTGGGGAGCTCAACCCCGTGGCCCCCAAAGCCCAGAAGAAGGTTCCAGTTCCAGAAGGGTAAGAGTTGGCTGGGCCTGCCCCCCTCCCCAGGCCGTCTGAGGGAAGGCAGAGCAAGGCTACCTCTATGGCTCCGCAAAGGTCAAAGAGGCCTGCATGGTCCTCTGCGGCGTTTGCATGGCTAGAGCAGGCGGAGTGTGAAGGGGCGTCGCAGTGGCCTCAACGCACTGCCTGAAATGGAGGCCTTTTTGCTTCACAGCTTGGACCTTGACGCCTGGATCAATGAGCCTCCCTCGGACAGCGAGTCCGAGGACGAGAAACCCCGGACCATCTTCCACGACGAAGAGCAGAAGCATTCCCGGCACCGGCAGCCCGAAATGGATGAGGAAGAGCTCGCCAGAGTAAGCTGATGGAACAAGCATGTCGGGGCCAGATCAGGAAGCTCGTGGTGTTGAAACCACCCCCCTGATTGCATCCCGGTTGTGCCTCGTGCTGCCGCTTAAAGGAACGGCTGAGCTGCTGACTGAATGAGTTGTGTGAGGGGTGGGAGTCGCCTCATTAGCACCTTTTCCATGAAGCCCAGCCAGTGCCAGCAATCTGACCCGAGAATTCTTGTGTCTTTCAAGCGTCGTGAGGTCCGGAAGCAGGAGCAAGCGAACAACCCCTTTTACATTAAAAGCTCTCCTTCCCCACAGAAGGTAAGTTTGGCTCATTTCAGACCATGCTGGACCACACAACCTTTTGTGGCCACCTGAGGCTGCTCTGGGATTTGTTAACTGCTGGTTTCCCCCACCCTCTTTTCTTTTTTTGCTGCTGTAAGCACATAATCTTTCCACCCCCTTTTCTACTTTGCCCAGCGGTACCAAGACAGCCCTGGCGTCGAACACATCCCTGTGGTTCAGATCGATCTCTCCGTTCCCTTAAAAGTTCCTGGTAAGTGAATTCCACGTGGAATGCCGTCGTCCCTTCTGCTTCTGGCTCTTAACCAAAGCAGCATCACCCCTCTAAAAACAGAGAGGCCCTCCAGATTTGCAGGACTACACGAAAAACAGAAGAGCCTTGACATGTCTGGGGTGGGGAGGAGACCCATAACACATCCTAACGAAGATTGAGCGTGCTCAGTAGCTGTGGGATGCAGTGGGGTGGGGTGGAGAACTGGTGAATGGGTGGGGAAAGGGAGTTGGGCATCCCGACACTTGAGCCGTTCCATTGTACTTCGCAGCACTGTGTTCTGTTTGCCCTTCCCCTGAAAGCTGTTCCTCAGCAGGAGTCATAGCCCAGCTGTGGGCTAAACTTGATGAGAGAGTATTCTTAGCCCTCCGGGCTCCAGACAGAGTTGCTGGCAGAGCTCAGCGCACGGTTGACTGGGATTTCTTGGTCATTCTTGGGGGAATCTGTTCAGAGCTCTCCAGGGAGTTCTCCTCGCAGTAACAACAGCCTGCCCACCCCTCTTTTCCTGCATGCATGGCTAATTAAGCTGCTGACACAGGTCGGGCCATGCAGAAGTTGTAGTCCAACAAGCAGCAGACTGGAAAGAGTGCTCTGGGCAGTTGTCATGTTGTGCCTGTTGCATTTTTCACCTCTGAGAACAATTTCTTTACTAGTTCAGATTGTGGTACCTTTAATAACAGTGCCATAGAATATATGCACCAGTCATCCCTCATTCCCAGCAAGCAAAGGGGATATTGGAGGGACTGCAGACCAGCACATCTGGAAGGTACCAGGTTGGACGGCTGATCCACGAAGGATCCATATCTGTAGCATGTACAATCATTTCATTTCTGTTTCCTCACAAAATGGCAGGGTTTTAATTTTGCACTTCCACGATACTTGCCTTTCATCACCTGGTGCCAGTGTTTCAGGGGATCTCTTTTGGGACTTTTGGAGTAAGAAAGATCACAGCTCTTGTCTGGACCTTGTATGGTGGGAAGGGGGTTTGTAGATCCTTTGGAATGAATTCTGGAGTTTTTATAAAGGTCACTTGGTCACCTCAACCAGCACAGAATGTACCCCAGCCACAATGAAAGTGCAGGTGTTTAAGCAGAAGGTGACCCAGGGCAAAGCTGCATGGCAATGATCCTCAACTGGGGGTAGATGGGGGACACTGGTTCTCTGATTTGGGGGGTGCCTTCAGGGTTCGGGGGAGGGGTAAAAGCCCCCTTGTGATCCATACATACTAGATTTTGGGAGCGCCTGCACCCATCCTGCCCTTCAGCCCAGCCCCAGAGTGGGCAGGAAGGGAGCTCAGAAGGAGCTGCTGCTTTGCTTTCCTCTTTCCATGTGCCCTGAGGTTGTCTAACTCCCTTGCAAGACTACCACCCCAGTGGGCAGATGCTTGCAGCCGTCCGGGGACTGAAAGAGAGAACTCCTTTGCATTCTCTGTGGAGCAGGAGCAGTGGAAGCCCAGAGGTGTGGCCTATTGCTCCTTTAAGGAGCGCTGCCACGTTTTACTATTAATGGGTTTGAAGCTTTTTGACTTAATCATTCTACAGATGGGGTTCTTTGCTTGCATAGTTAGGAACGAGGGTTGGTGACCAAAGCCATCACAACAGGGAGTCCCCTGCTGCACAAGAGAAGGGAAAGCACTTCTTTGAAAAGGACGCCAGCATCCATTGTCAAGGGTAAACTCGGTGCTCCCTCCTTTTAGAAAGACCTCTTTTTGTCTCCCGCAGGCATGCCCGTCTCTGACCAATATGTGAAGCTGGAGGAGGAGCGCCGGCACCAACAGAAGCTGGAGAAGGACAAGAAGAAGCAGAAGCAAAAGAAGGAGAAGCGGGGCAAGAACCGGCGCCACAACTCGCTGCACACAGAGAGTGACGAGGACATCGCGCCTGCCCAGCACGTGGACATAATCACGGAGGAGATGCCAGAGGTGAGCCCTGGCTCAGCAGCCTGCAGGGCTGTGGGCCTTCCCTCGCAGAAAGGAGGCCAGGGGTTGGGCAGTAAGGAGGAGGATAGGCTTGGAATCCAGAGGATCCCGAGCTGGGTCACGGTGCTCGCAGTAATGCTTGAGCCAGTGGGAAGCTCTTGGCCTAACTGGTTTCCACATGGTTGGTTGGGGCACAGAGTGACCCAACATAGCAGCATCGCTCTGGGAAATGGAACCATGGTGGGGGATGGGGGGGAGCATCTTACATGGGTTAGGGTGGGGCAAATAGGCTAAGCCCTGGCTTGTTTTAGAATTTATGGAACCAGCTTTCCAGGGAGGTGCATCTGATGCCAACACTTTATATATTTTCCTGTTGTTTTAACTATTGAGTAGAAGTGTGTTTTTATATTGTTATTTAATATAATGATTGGTTGCACTGGTACAAATGGTGTTATCCTATTCTGTGTTCTTGTTTTTTATTTCTTATTGATTTTATGGATATCTGATTTGATTGATTTCTTATTGATTTTATGGAAATCAAAATCATATTGATTTTATGTAGTTTTAATGTATTTATATGTTTATAAACCGTTCTGAGAGCAACATGCTGAAAGAATGCTATATAAAGATCTTTAAACAACAACAACAACTTAATAAATAAATACTATTTACTTGAAACAGCATTTTTTTAAAAAGCTTCTGTAAAAATAAAGGTCAGGCTTTGTTTTCCTCTTGAGTCAGCACCTCTGACCCAAACCCAAGTTCTGCTTTTGTTAATGCCTCTTTCAGAATGCTCTGCCCAGTGACGAGGATGACAAAGACCCCAACGACCCCTACAAGGCGCTGGACATTGATCTGGACAAGTAAGTACAGAACCAGCTGCCCATCTTGTTCCTGGCAGTTGCCAGGCTTGTCTCCCAGCAAATGCCAAAGGAAGGGAACAAGGCCGCAGCTCAAGTGGGAGGTAAGGCCTCAGACCCATGGATGTTGCTGGACAGCTGGTGCCCACCATGCTTTTCCGCCGGTCATGGTAGCTGCTACCCTCCTGACTAGGCTGGCCCAGCCCGCCCCAGCTCCTTGGAGTGAGGCGTCAGGCAGGAGCTCTGGAGAGGCTGCAGAGCATGGGTGAGGTGGCCCTGGAATCCCCCTGTGCAGCCCTGCAAAGATATGGGGGTGGGGGCGTGGGCTCTTGGACCAGCAGTGGCCAGGGCTGATAGGAATTGCAGTCAGCTGAACTCTGGAGGGCCCGAGGTTCCTCCCCTGTGCTTCATTTTCCTGGAGGCTCTGGCTGGTGCAGATGGAGTTGGGAGTGGGTGGGCGCATCTCTACACAGTGGCTGCGTTTGCATGTCACTCTGGCAAGAAGCCACAGTGGGCTTATTATTATTTCATATTGTTTATTAAATTGAATAACAGTTTAATAATAATTTTTCTGTGAGCTCTTCACAGTGAACTTGACAGACCATCAGGCTCCCTCCCTCCTGACTCCCCAGGCAATCCCATGGCAGGCACCCCGTGGCAAAACCAAGCAGCCTCTCCTGCCCTGCTGCAATTGAGAGCCATTTTCAACTCTTTGTGCCTTCAACCTCTGAGGACTTCAACCCTGCCCACCCGCCACCATTTCACAAAAGGCGACTTGATGACTGCCTGTCACAGTTCCCCTTTTCACAGCCATTGGCCAGCCCTTCAAAGGGCTGAACTGGCACCTTGGAGGGGCCTACCTTTGGGCTGGCCAACATTTCGATTATAATTTTTCCTGGTGAGCAATAATCTTGCGGGCTGCTGGACATTATTACTCATCCACTACAAAGCACTGTGGGTAGAACAGCCTGTAGAACAGCCTGTGGGTTCTCAGGGTGGTTATTTGCTGGGGGGATCGAGCCCCGTGGGTGGCTTGCGATGGGTTTGATTGACGTGCACCTGGCTTGCTGCCCCGGTCTCTGTTGCCACCGTGCATCCTTGAGACCTCTTGGCCTTTCTGTCCCTCTTTCTCTCACTTTTGCTCTTTCCATCCCCGCACAGTTGTTTCATTTTGTCGTCACTTTTTTTTTTCTTTCTGTCTCTCTCTCTCTCTCTTTCTCTGTGTCTTTCAAACACAGTCTGGTTTCAGGGAAGGCGACCAGGTAAGATCCCGCTCTAGCAGTGTGGGTTGGTTGCTTCTGTTGAATGCTGTGAACCACAACGCAGCTTAACTCTTGCTCACTCCCAGAGTGCGGCAGGGCGCCTCTCGCCACTTTGGTCATGCACACACCTCTCACCTTGCCCACCCCAGGCCAAATTTCTCTCTGCATGGTCTGGAATAAAGGGACCAGGCTTGCTCCTCTCGGTTGCCCAGACCCTCCTCCCCCTTGGCCAGGGGTGGCTAGAGAAGTGGCTCTTTCATGAGACGTGGGAACAGTAGCTTCATCGTTAGCTGTCCAGATGTTCCCAAAGTTGCTCTGCAGCAAGAATCTAGATAACTACTTATTTTTATTTATTTATTTATTTATTTATTTAAAGTTTTTGTATGTCGTCCCCTTGCCACATAGCCCTGGGACAGCTCACAGAAATAAATAAATAAATAAAATACAAATACAGTTAAAACCCAGAAACACCCTGGCTGCAGAATTAAAACCTATAAATATTAAACATTGTTAAAATATTGTTTGAATGAAAAGGTCTTAGCCTGGCGCCGAAAAACAAATTCCACAGATGGGGCACCACTGCAGAGAAGGCCCTCCTCCGGGTACTTTGCCTCCTGATGTCTCTCACGGAGAGCTCCCAGAGGAGAGCCTCTGCTGCCGATCTCAAGGGGCAGGAGGGCAAATATGGCTCTAGGCGTTCCTTTAGGTATCCGGGTCCCAAGCCGTTAAGGGCTTTATAGGTGATTACCAACACCTTGAATTGGGCCCGGACTTCGATGGGAAGCCAGTGAAGCTGACGGAGGACTGGAGTTATATGAGAATAATGCCCAGTCCCTGTCAGCAACCTGGCTGCTCTGTTTTGCGCCATCTGAAGTATCCGGACTGTCTTCAAGGGCAGCCCCACGTAGAGCGCATTACAGAAGTCCAATCGGGAAGTAACCAATGCATGTGTCACTGTCACCAGGTTGGGACGCAGCTGATGGACCAGCCGAAGCTGAAGGAAAGTGTTCCTCACCACCACAGTCACTTGAGCTTCCTATGACAGCTCTGGGTCAAGGAGCACTCCCAAGCTGCGGACCTGCTCCTTTAGAGGGAATGCAACCCCATTCAGGACAAGGTCCAGATCCCCCACCCCAGAGCTCGAACCACCCACCAACAGGACCTCCGTCTTGTCTGGATTGAGCTTCAGTTCATTGGCCCTCATCCAGCCCATTACCTCCTCCAGGCACCGGTTCAGGACAGCCACTGCCTCACCTGGATTGGTGGAAAATGAGAGGTAGAGCTGGGTATCATCAGCGTACTAATGATTCCGCAGCCCACACCACCTGCTGACCTCTCCCAGCGGTTTCATGTAGATGTTGAATAGCAAGGGGGACAAAATGGACCCCTGCGGAACTCCATGGCAGAGCTGCCATGGCGCAGAGCCATAGTCCCCCAGCACCACCTTCTGGAATTGGACATTGAGATAGGAGCGGAACCACTGCGAAGCAGTGCCTCCAACCCCCAGTCCCGCTAGCCTATCCAGAAGGATACCATGGTCGATGGTATCGAAAGCCTCTGAGAGGTCCAGGAGGACCAACAGGGACGCACTCCCCGTCTCTCTCCCTGCACAGGTCATCATACAGGGCAACCAAGTATGACTACAATTCAGTGGATAGACTAGCTTCGCTTTTCAGTGTTACTTGTTTATTATTATTTAAGACATTTGTATGCCATCCTCTGTGAGAGCCTCAGGACAGCTTACACGAATAAAATTCCAAAATACATAACAACATAATATTATAAATAACAGAAAAACATTCCACAGTATATCCTCTTTTAATTAATAAAAATAATAAAAATTAAAATGCAACTGTATGCAGATTAGCAGTATTAATAAAATATTCGTTGTTAAAATGAAAGTTAAATAAAAAGGTCTTTACCTGGCGCTGAAAAGAGTAGAGGGTGGACCCCAGGCGGACCTCTCTGGGGAGCATGTACCATAGTCCGGATGCCACTACAGAGAAGGCCTTCCTCTGCGTGGATACCCTCCGTGCCTCCCTCAAAGCGGGTTCCCGGAGCAAGGCCTCCCCTGCCGATCTTAAGGGTCGTGAGGACAACGTCAGCTGCTTTCTCTCCCTCCCCTCAGTAAAATTGCGTGCAGAAAAATGCTGTCCTTGTTTGGAATTGACTTGGCAAGCTGCAGAGTTGGCAGTGATGGGATTCCACTTTCCCCCTCTATGGTCTTGTCCCCACTTCCTTTACTGGTGCTGAAAGCTAATACTCTCCTCTAAAGAGCCCATGTTCAGCTTTAACCAGCAGAAAGGCTGTGATCAGGAAGGGGATCGGGGGCCACAGTTGAGCTGAGAGCGTGGCAACTCTTTTCCACATGCTTAAAAGTAGCTGGAAAGCATTCCATTCTGAATAACGGGGAAACCAGCCCCTAAATGTTCATGAAGGTGTATCTGGAACCCGAAATCAGAACTGGAGCTCCTGGAGGAGCTCAAAAGGTTGCTCTTTCCTGGACGACACTGGGGTGGCCTGGAGGACCTCAGTCTTTGCTTTGGGGCGGGAGGAGGCCTTGCCAATACCAGCGTGTGGTACACTGTTGAGAGCAACTGCATCCTGTTTCTTAAAATTTAATTGACTTTTTAAAGCAATAACTTGGGTTTGTATCATTCTAACGCAGGCTGTAATTCATATTTTCCATTCCTGCATGGGGATTTCAAGGCTCTCCGAGGCTGTTTCAGGCACTGCCCAAAATGTAGCTCAGTAGTGAAATGGCTCATATGAAGGATGGCGTGTGCTCTGTGCTAGGGAGAACATTTGGTTTGTGCCTAAATTTCCAACTGAGAAATTGGATTGTCCTCTTCAGCTTATATCCTGCGGTGGCTGAGGGTTTGAGCAAATTTCCATTGTTGTGCACAGTGCACTTTTATTATTTATTTATTTATTTAGGGAACTTCTATGCCGCCCCATTCGCCGAAGCCTCGGGGTGGCTCACAATCATAAATAAATAAATAACAAATATAAAACAATACAATTTAACAGTATAAATTAAGTCGCCCTGGCCAAAGAATAAAATAAATAATATTAACAATTAAAATAATGTTTGAATAAAAAGGTCTTGGCCTGGTGCCAAAAAACAACGACGGCGCCAGGTGGACCTCTCTGGGGAGCGCATTCCATAGATTGGGTGCCACCGCAGAGAAAGCCCTCCTCCAAGTACTTACCCTCCTAATTTCCTTCACGGAGGGTTCCCGGAGAAGGGCCTCTCCTGCTGATTTTGCCAGATCTCACTTTTGCAATTATTTTATGCGTTTGTGTAAGGGCAGGGATCAAAGTTTCATGCAACCAGAAGAGGCCCACTGTAAATTGCTTTTTCCATGCCTGTGCACAATTCCCAGCCTACACACTCGCCCGAGATCCTTGCGAGGCTGTTTTTATCCCGAGGCTGCAATTGTAAAGTTAGTTGCTTAGTTAAATGCACCATAATGGTCCTCCTATCACTTGGTGTTTCAGCCCATGCATTAGTTCTGGCAGAAAAACGCTTCCTGTGTTTCTTCCCACATCGGATGCTAGAACAATTGGTGCAAACCGTGTTTTTGCCAGACTGTAGCAGGAACAGCTCTGGTGGAGGGTCTGTTCTGATCCTGCAGGGCGGAATGGACACTGCATGAGCTCAGCACAAGATGGATGCATCCCTCACATGCCCCTTTCCTCCTTTTGTTTAACGAAGGCCTTTAGCAGACAGCGAGAAGCTCCCTGTGCAAAGGCATAGAAATGCGGATGGTCTCAAGTCGCCCCAAGAAACAGAAGCTCTCCCGGTTGAGAAGAAGAGCAAGAAGCCGAAAAAGAAGGAAAAGAAACACAAAGAGAAAGAGAGGGAAAGAGAGAAGAGGAAAGAGCGGGAGAGGAAAATAGAGGAGGAGGACAAAAAGGTAATGCCTTGACACCACAGTTTAGAAATAGGGGAGGCCTGATGGATCCCTAATTGATCCAGCAAGGAATTTGTGTATACATAGCCTGGCCTATTCTAAGGGTTCAGGTCAGTATCTTAGTATTAGAGGGATGCCTGAAATGTTGTGGACCAAAATACTTTGCTTACAACTCTTGGCGAAATTCTTGTATTAAAGTCACCTGATTCCAGGTGAAGATCAGGAATTTGAGGGGAGCAGTGGGGGAGCAATAATGGTTTTTGTTGTTAGTCACTAAGTCATGCTCGACCCATCACGACCCCATGGACAACATTCCTCCAGGCTGTCCTGCCCCGGTAGAAGACATAAATAGTCCAGGCTCTCGAGGGTAGTCCAGCACCTCCAGGGCAAGACATGCTCAGAAGGGGCACAATATTTCAATGAACGAACTTAAAACAAGCCCAAAATTACGTACCTGTTTTGTGGGGAGGAATTTCCTGAGCATGTGATCTTGCTTCTCTGGCTAGATGGAAATGCCTGTGGAAGCCACTGGGAGGGCTTATACCTCCTTCCTTTAAACTAAGGATCCTGTAGAGTTCAGATCACAGAACCCCGTCCTTGTGGGTGGCAGAGAGTCTGGGCACCGCACCTGCTCACATGCTCCCTTTGTAAATGGGGGGGGTAATGACCACCTGTAGTTTCACTGAGCTTCGCAAACCCTGATCAGACCATGGCCTGCAGTTGTGTTCCGCGCTGCCATGGCAGTGGAAGCCGCATCAGTGCAGCTGGCAGGGGGCCAAGACAATGAATTTCGTATACTTCAAACAGTCCAAAGTGTGCCCCTTCATGCTTCCTCTCTGGTTCCCTGCAGGGGGATGAAATGGACCTCTGGCTCTCTGAAGCTCCACCAGCTGCAGTAGCTTCGGAGGCAAAGGTGAGCATCTCCCCCATTGCGCAAGAAGAGTGAAGAGTGCTCAGAATGCCCAGGGTTTCAAAGTGCTGCCCAGATGTTTGTTTGTTTGTTTAAGCATTTATATCCCGTCCTATATGAGAAAGACATCGCAGGACAGCTTGCAAAATTTTAACAATTAGTAACAACAACAAATAACCACCGTAAACAGCAAAAATATAGTATCAGCAAAAAAAAAAAAAAACAGAAAGAAAAATAAGAAAAAACAAAAAGTGATTTTGGATGTTACAACTGGTTAAAATTTCTAATTCTTAAAATGACGGGTAAATAAAAATGGTTGGTGGTGCCTGGTGCCGAAAGGAATATAAAGTCAGCGCCAGGCGAACCTCCCTGGGGAGCACATTCCAGAGACTGGGAGCCACCACAGAGAAGGCCCTCCTCCGGATAGAGACCTGGTAGGTAGATACCCAGAGGGTAGCTCGTGAAGATGGTCCTACTTCAGAACTCTTGGGCCCTTTGTCATGGTCAGACCACTTCCTCGTGAGGTGAGGTTTGAGCTCGGGGCTGATCTCTCCCTCCAGAAGGGTGTGGGCCCCATTAAGATGGTCCACCCCCAGGGTCTTACGGATCAAGGGGATTTTCCGGCTGATAAAGCTGGCACTCCTGTTGATGTCCTGGCTGATTTGTGGAACAGGGAGATGACCAAGGCAATGGACATGATCACTCCTAAGCATCCTCTCCCACCCAGCAGAGCCCGCTTGGCACCTTGGTATACACGTGACTTGCGGGCGATGAGGCAGGTTGGGAGACGATTAGAGCACAGGCAGAGGAAATCTTGCAACGAATCTGAGCGAACACACTTACGTGCTCGGTACTGAGCCTTTGCTGCGGCGGTGAACGTGGCAAAGAGGCAGTTCTTCTCCGCTTCCATTGCTTCCTCACAGTGCTGTCCAGCAGAGCTTTTCCAAGTGGTGTTGGGCCTGACACACTCTGACCAGGAAAAGGATGCGGTGGCACCATCAGCAGCCCACTGTGACAACTTGGGCCAAGTTTTGGGGCACTGGAGACTTTTAGGTCTATCAGGCAAACCCACTTAAAGATGACCGGGAGTGGGGAGGGATGCCTCCCACCACCTGGAGAGACAGATGGCTGGTAGTCCCCCTTCCTCACACCCCACTTAGGTGCAATATTAAATAGATTCTCCTGGTTAAATCTGCAGGTTTGAAACAATGCCAGTAGCTGGTGGGGTGGGGGGTACAGTGGCTGATCCTTAGTGGGGTCCCAGCAGGCATCAGGGGAATCAAGCCGTCTCCTTGTCAGCATCAGTCTTGAAGAACGAAGCTTGCATTCATATCAGGTGGGAGTCCCCTGCTGATGAGATTTGTGGAAGGGGTGCTGTCTTCTCCCGCCCCGCCAGCAGCAGCAAGTACCTGTTTGAGGGAAGGGATCTTCCTCAGCCCTTGATCAGGGAGCAAAAGGGCCAGAGCCCATCTTTGTTCCACCATCCATGTCCGCATAATTACCGTGCGCGCACAACACATCTGATGCTGTTTCCATTTTAGCATGCCGGGGCTTTTTAAAACACATTCAGACACACACAACCTTCCATTTGACCCTCAGACTGCAGTTTTCAGCCTCCTCCTCAGTCAGCCTTAGTCTTGCCAAACCTTGGCCCATATGAGAGAAAAACCCTTTTCTGTCCCACTGGCAGCTGCCCACAGATACGGAGACAAGGACTGAGTCAGTGCCCAGAAACGTAGCCTAGATTACAGGCCAGGGGTGGCATGGAACAGTTTGTGCAAGCTGAGCAGGCTGAAGTGGGCATGAAGCTTCTGGTAGATTCCTTGGTGACCTGCAGTACTTTAGCAAGGATTTTGATTCCTGGTTTATTTAAGCATGGCAGCAATAACAGCATCTCTCCCACCCCCACAGCCACACATGCTCATATGACAAAACTGTGAGCTCCATACTGCTCTGGTGCACAGCACACCTTCTGGGGCTCGAAATTCCTCAGTTCTAGTCGTGCGTGCGTTTGCACCAGGCTTTTCTGAGTAGGTCTCTGGGTTCCAAAAAAAAGTAAAATAGCAGATCTGCAGACCTGGCAGCTGACCCGAAGAGACCTCTTCTGGAGAGAATCTGCCAGCATCAGGATCGTTTGCATTTGCCTTGGCTCAGCATGGACCCTGACTCACCATTAAAGTCTCAGCGGGTCCCTTATTGGGTCTAGGCGCTGCCCAGTCCAAATAAACGGTTTCCCCACCTGCAAAGAATTGCCCCTCAGAATGTTGGTTCCACTTCCCAGGGACTTGGGGAAGAAGTGCCACGTACGGGGATGCTGTTTAGGCCTGTGAATGCGGCTCGTTTCCGGGCTCCCTGCCTGAGAGAGATTTGCAGCTCCTGCCATGTTCACCAGGCTGGTGTTGAGCGTTCCTGCCTGTCTTTTGGTCAGGATCTGCATGAGGCGAACGCAGATGCTGCAGGACCAGAGGAAGCCAAGAAAGGGGGGCAGGAGGAGGAGGCAGCGGAAGAGGAGGAAGATGAAGGGAAGGTGAGTGCCCTCCTGATTGCTGAATGTGGGATTTGCCAGGCAGGGCTTCCCATCGGCTGAACCCCAGGCAGGGTGCAAACCGTCCGTTTTCCTCATAGAATTGGACCCGTATGCCTCAGATTGGCTATAATGGCCTGGTTCCTCCAATGTCTTTGCCCAGGTGGCTCCAGCACAGCCCTCCTCGACTCGGGGTGCTCCAGAAGTGCCGCACTGCCTCTTGCAGTTGGCCCTGCTGGCTGGGGATCATGGGAGTGGCAGCCCGACACAGCCAGAGGGAGCTGGACTGTGGAGGGCTGACGTAGGCGGGGAAGGACGCGTTGGGATGGCTGTCCCAGGCCAGCGGGTGGCTTGCACCTTCTCCAGGGCCAGTGTGGACGTTTAGTGGTGCTGAGGGGACACTCCTGGAGGCTGACGCTTGGTTTGCCCGCCCTAGCAGAAATCCTCCAAGCACAAGAAGAAGAAGCATAAGAAGGAGGAAAAGTCCAAGGAGAAGAAGTCCAAAAAGCACCACGGCAGCGGGGAGGGGCCACCGACGGAGTCCGTGCAGAATGGGACGCTGGAGGACGAGCCCCTGCCAGTGAGGAGCTTGCTGAGGGCAGGGGGTGGTAGGCTGGACAGTGACTTGGCGCAAGGGCGAGCCAGGCTGGAGAAGGGCTTGGGCGGCAAAGGCCGGCCAGCCCCTCGGTTGCCTGGAGCAGAGGTGCACGGGCAGGCGCCTGTGACGCACCCTCGGGCAGGGTGGGCAAAGCCCGGAGCAGCACTCCCAGTGGAGAGTGGTTCCCAGTGGAGCTCCAGGTGCCGCCCCCTGTTCCAGCTGACGTCCGAGGCCACCGTTGCGAGCCAGATGGAAGGCTCACTGGGGTGGTCCGGCACTTCCACAGCCCTGTCTTAATTACACGTGCTGCTCCGCAGTTGTGCCGTAAGCCATTTTCTCCCAGTCGGAGCCCCATCCCGGCAGTGACTCGCCCCTTTCTTCTTTCCAGCCGATGTCCAGTTACTGCCTTCTAGCTGAGAACGCCTATATCAAAATGGTGAGCACAGTGTCCTGCCCCCAGCCCCGGGGCAGCCTTCGTTTCCGGGGCTTCCTTGCCGGCGGCAGTCCTGCCCCACGTCCTGCTCCTCCTCCCCCTGACCCGTGCCTCCTTGCAGACGTACGACATCCAGGGCACACTGCAGGATGACAGCCGGGTCACCGTGTCTGTCATTCTCGAGAACAAGAGCAGCAGCTTCCTGAAGAACATGGAGCTGAACGTCTTGGACTCGCTCAACACTAAAATGCTGCGGCCGGAAGGCGCCTCGATTCACGATGGAATACCGGTCCCTTTCCAGCTGCCTCCTGGTATGTATGGGACAAGCAGTGGGCGGGTGGAAAAGGCATGCTTCGGGACACGTCTGAGCGTGGGCCAAATTCCCTGGCCCACGCAGAGAGTCATTCTGCAGGTTGTGCTTTTTTCATGGTGGGTGGGATTTCACAGTCGTTGCCCAGGTGCCATGGGGGCAGGGCTGGACTCAGCCTGAGTGCCCCCTAGCCTTGCCAACTGCCCAAACTCAGACGTGATCATGGGCAAGTCCGTCGCCTGCCTGCAGCCTCTGTTACTGGCCTTCCAGATTCGAGTCCCCAGATTTTAGCTGTTCAGCAACCTGCAGCTGTAAGTGATTTCTGATTGTTGAGCCCTTCTCCAAGCTGCTATAGGCCCTTGTAGTGAAAAAGGCAAAAGAGCTTAAATCAGCAAACCAGGCACAGCATGGCATTCTGCTTGGAGCTGTGAGGTCTGGGTTCTAGTCTCCACCCAGCCATGCAGCTCATTGGGTGGCATTGGGCCTGCCACAGGTTCTCTGCCCAACCTACACTGGAGGGTTGTAAGGATAAAATGGAGAGGAGGGGGAACTCTGTAAGCCACCTGGAGTTCTTTGCAAGAGAAAGAAAAGTGAGGGTAAATGTTACGTAATAATAGTCACCTGTGCCTGAGAAAGCAAAGTGTTTTTAAAGTGAGAAGAGCTCATACATTCCATTGTCTCAATCCAGTTTGTATTCCTTTTCTCCATCCAGGAGTCTCAAACGAGGCCCAATTTACCTTCACCCTGCAGAGTATCGCCATGGCACAGAAACTAAAAGGAACCCTGTCGTTCATAGTTAAAGTAAGGACCCCTTTCACCATCTGCCAGTGAATGCAGCTTTGGGGATAATGAAAGGTTATGGAGCAATCCCTATCTGGATGCGGGTAGAGGTATTCACTCCAGTTAGAGCTCACCTGATGGTTCACACAAGTCGCTGTTCCATCCTAGCAGCATCAGGCTGCAATGGGTCACTCTGAGGGCCAAGCAAGCCATGGCAAGGCTGCTGCCTACAAGATGCTCTCAGACAGGATGTGGGCGCAGTAGCCCTCTCCCACGGTGTCCTCCAGCAGTCAGTGAGTCCAGAAGGAGCCAGATGGCCACCTGGACAGGTAGCCACAGAGAGCCCGGCCTGTGACGCAACCTGCTTCTGAAGTCATCCCAGTTGGCAGATGTCTAGCGGCAAATTCTGTAGCGTTGCTTAGAGTAAAACCTACTGGGGCCCTTTGGTTCATTTACATTTTATCATCTAACTTTCAGGCAAATATGACCCCCCAAAGCAGGCCATGTCTTTTTAAAATAACTTTTATATTTTATATCCCATCCACTACTGAGGTCTTGGGGCGGTCTTACAAAAAAGCAGAATAGAGCACAGCATCCAAGTAATTTATGCAATAGAACCCCACAATTAAAATCATAGTCAAGCCTTAAAATAATGGGAAAATAAAAAAGTCTTAGCCTAGCACTGAAAAGAATAAAGTGTTGAACCTCTCCGGGAGGCACATTCCATAACCAGGGTGCCACCACAGAGAAGGCCCTTCCTTCTCCAGGTAGCCACCCTCCTAATTTCCTTCAAGGAGGGCTTCCAAAGACAGGCCTCTACCCCAGATCTTAAGGGGCAGGTAGGCACGTAAGAAAAGAGACACTCCTTCCTCATTTTTAAAGGGAGAGGACTTAACAAGCTAAAAAACAAAGACACAAGAGGAGGGAAGCTGTTGAGGAGCGAGACTAGTTTGATGTTGCCAGACAGCCTAGAGCAGTGATGGCGAACCTTTTAGAGACCGAGTGCCCAAACTGCAACCCAAAACCCACTTATTTATCGCAAAGTGCCAACAACGCAACAAAACCTGAATACTGAGGTTTTAGTTTAGAAAAAAAACTCGTACATTAACTTCTCTTGTCCTAAAAGAAAAACACAATAACAGAACTTCCAATGATACAAACAGCTTTTTATTGAAAGGGAAAAGGTAAAATGAAGCACCCAATACAAATCTATCCCTATATCAAAACTAGCTAACACTATTAATTAACACTAAAGAATTGGATATTTCCTGAATCAACATTCTATAGCAGTGATTCTCAGCTGGGGTTCCTCTTGAATTTGCTGACTGCCAGCACAGGGAGGCGATGTTCCACTGAGCACCAGCTTTTGGCCTGCTCTGAGAAAGGCATCTGAGTGCATTTCCTACCTCGTGGGGGCTTCTGCTAAAATCACAGGTAGTCCATACAAAGATAAATATCCTTGTTCTTGTTTCCATAAATTCTTCACAAACAACTAAATATGATGCTGCAGATTCAAATATGCCAGGGGGACAGCACAGCATTAAAAGAATCTCAGTCTCTTAAGTGGAACATCTCTTTGCTAAATCTTAGTTATTAAATTTCAATTTTTCATAAGAAAAATCAGAACTAAAATCTTGTGTTAATAAACTTGAATGTATTAAAACTCACAGCCAGTCCAAGCAAATATATATATATATCCTTGGCAGCGCACTGGCCATGCAAAAGCTTAGACGAGTTGCAGCTAATGAGTCATGACTCGTGATGTCATCACCTGGCGCCACTACTCCTTTCCGAGCATGCGCATGGTCCCTATGTGCGCTGTTATATGGTGCTCGACTGCTGGGGCAACTGGGCTCCCATGCCAACAGAGAGGGCTCTGCGTGCTGCTGCAGCACTCGTGCCACAGGTTCGCCACCACTGGCCCAGGGGCTTCTCAGCTCATAACTTCTTCAAGCTGGGCCCAGCTGATCTTCGGTTCATGTGGCTTTGCTTGGACAGAACTGGTACAACCATCCAGGGGCCTCCTAAGTCCTCTGTCCAGCGGGAAAGTGTGGCCAGGCTCCTCCCCACTCCTGACTCAACCAGTGGTTGGAGCAGAGTCTTTGTCAGGACAGACTCCTTGCAGTTACTTCCTCTTGGGCCAAGCTGGTCTTCCTTTTGCCCTGGTGCTTTTCCTGGGACAGTAGGAGCGTGGCCTCCCAGAGGCCTTTGTTCCACCAGTCAATGGCCGAGGCCAGTGTGGTTTTCCCCTTGCTGTGGCCACAAGCTTTTTATAAACCGCTCGAAGAGCTTTGTCTGTGAGGAGGTACAGAAATGAAATTCATAACAACTGGCATTTGTGGAAGAGTGAGGTGGGGAGATTGGCCCTCTTCTACCCCACTCTCCACTTGGGCCATGGCAGGAAATCATTTCGGGGTCCTTTGCGTGAGCACCCCTTTGGTGCCTGAAGCTGTCGCCCATCTCCCACCCTCTCTGTCTTGCAGGACGAAGAAGGCTCCACCCACGAAAAACTTGATTTCAAGCTGCACTTCAGCTGTGCGTCTTACCTAATCACAACTCCCTGTTACAGGTAAGCTGTTCCAGGCGCCTGCCACACTTGTTCATTTTAATTTACTTATTTTTGAACTTGCTGCTCACTTCATCAGCCCAAAGGCCCTCTGAGTTGCCCTCACTAGCAGAGGGAAGTGGCGTCAACTCTCAGCACTGTTGTTCCCTGTCAGTTGGTGCATTTTTGTGGGGTACCAGACATTGGCCCTGCCCTGAAGAATTTGCCATCCAGAATTCTACTATAGGGGAAACAGAAGGGGAGAGAAGAGTTGGGAGCCCACGAGGTCCAAAGCGGGAAAAACATCCAGTCCTGTCCTTGATTGGTTTGTCACTGGGAATGGTTGCATATGAGATTGTGCCTGAAGGTGCCCAAAAGGAAGAGCTTCAGGTGGAAGTGGGCAGGGCAAGATGGCCACATTCCCACCCTGCTTGCCAGCATTGCCTTCTGCCCATCCCAGCCACTTCCTCCCTGTGTTTGCTGCAGTGACGCCTTCGCCAAGCTGCTCGAGTCTGGGGACTTGCACGCCAGCTCATTCAAAGTCGACGGCATCACCATCCCTTTCCACCACCTCCTGGCGAAAATCTGTTTCTACCATCACTTCTCAGGTGTGTTCCAGTTTTCCCCACTTCACTTCCCCTGCTCCGGAGGGGCTACAGCCACCCACTTGCATGAATCCCCCCATTGCATTTATTTATTTACAATATTTTTATCCCGTCCTACACAATCCAGTTGCCCCAGGGCGGCTTACAATATAAATAAGCAATAAATACACAAGCGGTCAAGAAATACAATAACAAAATGCGACTGAGAATATTGATAAAACCAAATTGAAATTATTTAATCCTTAACATGTTGGGCGAATAAAAAGGTTTCCCTCCTCTCGCCTCTCTCGTTAGTGACAAAGCAAGACTTTTCGGAAAGACAGTAGCACTGGCTCAGCCATACTCTAAAAGGACTTTTTTGCAGGGGGTGGCGGGTGTGGGGGTGCAGTTGGCAGGGTCAGGACCACCCGCAAAATAAACGGCAAGTTATCTTTCCTTCCAGTTGTTGAGCGCGTGGGGGATTGCGCTTCTATGTACAGCCGTTCTATCCAGGGCGATCACGTCTGCCTCCTAGTGAAAAAGGTGAGAGGGGAGTAGGCTTCCGGGGGCGGGGGGGGGGCAGGCATTGTCCTTTACCAGCTGGTGCATCTACCCTTCCTTCATCATTCGGGCTGCCAGAGCAGGGCGCCAGAGAATGATGGCTTGCATTTGCGGGGAGGAGGGAAGATGAGAAGGCAGGGGCAGACATTGCTCTCTGCCTCTGCAGGGACTCTTCTTATTTGCTGTCTGTGCTGACAATCATCCCCCCCCCCCCCGACTCTTTAAGGGAGAGAATTCAGTATCCATTGATGGGAAATGCAACAGTTCAACCTTGCTGGGCAACCTGCTCTCCGAACTCAAGGAGACCCTGTCGCAGTGCTGAGGACACCCAGGAACCCTGCAGTCTCCACCACCCTTCGTGGGAGAAGCACTGAGAGGCTCACAGACTGAACCCCGACAAGCATTAGTTTTCTCTCCTCTCCCCCTCCAAGCGCATGTATGATCGCCGGGGCATGCGTGTTTCCCTTCACTCTGCCCGGGTCGTGGTGTTTGTGTGTCTTATTATTTTTGTCCATTGCGGTTTACACATGCTACAACTGTACTTCTCCCCGTCCTTCTTTCCTGAACTGTTTGGCCACTTTTGACGACGACTGCTTCCAAACCAGAGAGAAAACCGTAATACTGATACCCTGGCTGGGGTTGGGTTGGGTTGGGTTGGGGGGCAGTAGTTCAAGAAGTCACGGGATCCACGCCGTGGAGTCTTTTCTCATCGGCAAGGACAACAGGCACGTGTTGATGTGGATCCAGAGGCGACTGCCTCAGTCTCCTTGTGCCTGGCCTGTTTTAACCTATGTATTTATTTCTGGCTGCAGCAAGATGAAGATTGGCCAGAATTCCTCTGCACTATAACCGGTTGGTTCATCTTTCCTTTTGTCCCCTGAGGTCAGAATTCATAATGGTTCCACTGAACCTGCCCCCCACCCCGTAAGATTGATCACATTCCCCGCCCTGGCACATTTCTGCTGCGGGTGCTTTGTGAAGTCCACTGAAATCTTACCACATTCCTGAAGCTATAGAATGTAGCAAAAAACTGGAAATCCAAAGTCTTCGTGTGCGTATGTGTTCTTGTTTTGGTTCTCTTTCTTTCTTTTGCCAGTCTCTTGGCTCAGCATCATAGGTTGACCCGTCCCAGGGTAGGTGAAGACAATCCGTCTGACTCCGCCTCTCTGTTGAAGAGCCCCCCTCTGCCCCTGGCCCTGAGGTGTGCAGTGCCCGTTCCCGATGCAGTGCCCACAGCCACTGGGCTTGGAAGAGGCCAAGGTTTTGAAAGTGATTCTGGCCTCAGATCAAGCAGGTGGATGCAAATCAGGAGCTGACTCTGTGTTTTGAAAAGTGCTTCAGTCCTTTGCTGGAAAGGGGATTCCTTCCCTTCCTTACCAAATAATCATTTGACCTTCTACAAACCATTGTTTCTTTTGCTTCACTCACAAGATTGGAAATTAATCAGTGATAATTTATTTGGAAATGGGGTTCAAGCAGCTTGACTCCTCCATCTCAACATTTAGCTACTTTTTCATATCCCTGGGCCCATATCCCTGGGCACTTTTTCATGTCCCACCCCCATTAAAAAAAATTAAATTGGGGAAAGGAGGGATGATGGAACCGACTGTGAAAACATTGCTCTCTTGCTTGTTTTTGATGTCCTCTTTGTTTCAAGACACTTGGTGCCTCAATACTCCTCACCGTGATTTGTGGTTCAAGGTGTTTTCAAAAACACACAAGTTTGCCTGTTGGGAACAGCTCTGTGGTCATTCTTGATTTCTCAAGAAGAACCTGGTATTCCAGAATTCCGTGTACTTTTGCGCAATGAAGTGATAATAATACCTATTGGGACTTCCTGGTCAACCTTTTGTGGAATAGTGAGAATTGTGTGTTTGGGAGAGCAAAGCTGCGCATATTTGAAATGGTCTTAACATGCTCCTTGGAATTAGTGGATTTAAATATATATATATATATCTATATATATTCCTGGATGAAACTTGTCACTTTAGCATGTAGAGTCTGTTCTCTTACAGAACCCTGTGGTGATTCTAGAACCATCAGAAATGATATGTATGATATGTTATGTCCAAAAATCAACAAAACCAAACCTTATTTGCTATCAACATCCCCCCCAAAGAAGAGGAGTAAACATGTATCACAAAGCTGCTGTAACATTTTTTTTTGTGTCAAGATGATCCAATAAAATTTCAAAACCAGTTCACTGAAAGATTATAATTTCTAGTTTGAAAATAATTATACGCTCCCACCCCCTCATCTCAAACCAATGGCTATACATGAAGAGCTGCACAGACAGCAACCAGGTTTTGCTTTCAGCCAAGTTAGAATCCCCAGCTAAGGAGGCTAACATCAGTTCACATGGTTTCCTTGCGAAGTCTTCAATGCAACATTTCCTGGTTGCTGAAAGTCTCCACTCAAATTCCTGAAGCTTAAAGGGTGTGCAGAATCCTGCCTCCCCAATAGCAGAATTGTGGAATCTCTGCTCATGCTTGGCACATGAAATTATCCAGCTCTTGGCTTGCACGCCTAAGGGGCAGCAGACTCTCTGGTGAATAACCCGAAGAATTTGAGTTCTTTATTTCTCAGGAAGCAATTAGCCTCCCCTTCTCAGGGTGAGCATTCTGGTGAGAACACAGAATTTCAGAATCCCCCCTTTTTCATCTGTGGCAAGCTGCAGAGCCCTGTCTCCTTCAGAATGAGCTGTCAGGATCAAAGCATGAGAATACCCTCTACCTGATGGTTTTCTGGCCCTGTTTTTTGCTTTCTGAAGCTACCAAAATAGGAGGAACCGTTGTTCTGGGGAAACTGCCCCACTCTCCCAACCCGAGTAGCCAAGGGAGAATCCAAGAGCTGTAACAGAAAAGGCTGTTCGTTCCTCCAAAGATTTAGTTTTAAAAACTAAGGATCGCCTCATTGCTGAAGCTTGGGCAGGGCAGCAGTTTGCAAAAAATCCAGAAGAGACATGGGCTCACTGCCAAGGCCAGAGCCTGTGATTTGAGGCTGAGGTCCTGGTTCCTCCCCCACTCCCCATGTGGATACCTCCACCAAGTCCTTGGCGAGACTTCCATCTCCAGGTGGGGTGTGTGGGTGCATATCCATAAAGACCTTGCCACACGAAGGCGCAGTGCCACTTGGATGCAATACCTTGGAAATGAGAGAATTGCACCCCCCCCAGGGGGAGGGTTCCATGCTGGCGGGGGGCTAAAAGCTTTGCTAAGGAGTGCCCTGCAAAAGCCCTCTCAAGTGGGAAAGCCGAATGGAGCAAATGGCCTCGCTTCTCTCCATGGGATTTTGTCTAACCCACTGGCAAAACCTCCCAAAATACGGTGTCACAAAAATCACATTTGCCTGCAGTTAGACAGGACATCCGGACACCCCTCCCAGCGGGTGTGGGCTTGCATTTCTTAACAGCTAGTTGCTTCTCTGGCCTGAGATGTGTGTATCAGACTAATGGGGTGAAGAGGACAATTTCTCAATGCAAGTTCAGCGTTACTGGGGAGAGCTAGACTGGCAGCAGGGGGCCAAGGCAAAGAGGGAGTATCCCATCCCAAACAGCTAACTATTCATTCCCCCACTGAACACTGGATGGAACCAGTGGACTATTTAGATGAATAACCGGCCGGGTGCCACTTCATCACTAGCATCATTTTATTTCCTGTGTCAAATCCGGATCTTTGTGGCAGAAAGACTTCAGCATATAGGAGCCAGCAACTGAATAATTGGTATATCTTCCTGCAGTTCCTTCAAGGCCATAACATTGAGCCAGTTTTTTGATAAGGTGTGCTTTATACCTGGCATTGCAGACATACACAACGTTGTTAGCAACTGGGTTTGGCTGGCCAAAATCCTTACAGTCCAAATTCTAGATTTGGTATGAAAAACTTACTTGTAAAGTTCAGACTTTCTGGGCTGTAGAGAGGAGGAGGAAGAAGAAATGGGGAAAGTTTAATAACTTTGTAAAGAGAAAGTTTTTAGAGTCCCTAACCCATACACATTGTAAACCTGTGCAATAACTTTGTTTAGTAAGTTATTATATTAAATTATTTTTATTAAACCAATACTACATTTAAGAAGTTTGTAAAGGAGAATTTTTTAGGCTGGCCTCCAGCTGCTTCCATTATCCTCAACCAGCTGGATATGAAAGTTGCAGTCCAATCCAGATGTAGGGTGTTGGGTTTGGGATGGCTGTGTTAAGGCACTTATGGATTGCATCGGTTGTTTAGCACAGTCTCTCTTTAAAACAGCTCCCAAACAACCATCCCTAATTATTTTCTGCTCAATGTATATTTTGGTTTCTGTCCCCTACCCACCTCCAAAAAAAGCAATTGTGATTTTGACAATAAGATCCAGAGGAAAACCCTAAATTAAAATGCAACCTAAAAGCAAATACTTCGAAACTGCAATAAGCAAACAGTACCCAACTCATTTTTTAAAAAATGATCAGCAAACCAAATCTTACATGCAGAAGTCCCTCTTCAATAAAATTCTTTGTCCACCAGTTAAAGGACAACCAAGACCCTAGGCAGGGCATCCCAGAGCCAGAGTGAGGCCTGCCACTACCAAACTGTTCCCTGATGGCACCAATACTGAAGCCCCACAATTCTCTTAACAACCTGGACAAACAGCCTAGTAGTACCAACTCGACTGGGCCAACTCAAGTTTCTGAGCTGTTTTCAAAGGCAGCCCCACATACGCAGGGTTGGGCCCTGTGAGCCAAATTCACCCATGACTTCCACCCTTTTGGTGGATTCTCAGCTTTTCTCTGGTATCCCCCCCTCCCCACACTATTTTAAAAGGTTGAAACGCCTTTCCCACAGCTTTGTTAGTTGCAACAAATGCTTTAAGCTGCAATTGGATGGTCTTTGAGGCCTTTCCCCTCCTGGCACAAGGAAATGCAACTTGCAAGAACACCTTGGAAATTAATCTCAACCTCCCTGACTTATGCCATGCAGCTTGTCTCACTAGCTGGAGCAACCTGATGAGGTTTTGGCTGGTCTGGAGGCATTTTGCTGCCTGAGGTGAAAAAGGTGAGGGAACCTCTTCTACCTATAAAAGCCTTTGAAACTGAATGGCTTTCTTCCACAGTGACAATGCAGCGTTACAGCTGGAGCCAGCTGGCCAGCACGGGCAAATGGGAAAACCACATAATACATGCTTTTCTTTCCCAAGGCTTTGCTGCCACTTCTCAGCATTTTGCTGCCTGGGAACTGCCTCATTTTAAGGCTGTGACTCGGGTATTTGGAAAGCAAATACTCCATGTAGAGGTATGAATAAAGAAAATGTCCCAGTTCACATTCCACCTTTTCTCCCTTTTTCATTTCCACTATTTACCTTGTGGATGTGCAATGGCTGAAAGACAAGAAAGAAAAAATGTTTTCCAACTGTGGATGGAGGGAACTTAGTTTCTTGGATGATGATGATGAACATGAACATTTCTATACAGCCCATAGACAAAGCTTTGGGCACTTTGCAAGATTTCCCATCAAGGTTTACAAACCCTTTGCTTCAACAATGCCACATTGGCCTGAACCAACATTGGAAGGAACCTCGGAGGAAATCTGGTCCAATTGCTGAATGTGGGAATCATTCAGCTTTTGTTTAAATTAGCTGAATTTTCCCTTTGCTTTAGGGAAGGAGAGCCAATCCTGTCCCAGGGAAATTAGCAGGGCCTCTCTCTTTCTTTTTGGAGTGGTACAGAAGCAAAGAAAACCTGTGAGGGGGGCCCTTGTCTTCTATCCACCCCACACCCTCTTCTCCCCACTTCTCACCCAGTTTCTTCAGTACCTAAAATATTTAGCTGCCCCAACTTCCCATCCCGCAATGGCTCCAAGGTGGCTACTAATTAAGAAAACACTCAATAGTGTTATGAAAATAAGGAGCTAAGAGCAGTGCCAAACCCATTAGCTGTTCTAAAGCAAAGTATTTTGGGATGGCCTGGTCCTGAAATGCACACTTTGCCAAAGACCGAATAGAACCTGAAACTTCTAGAACTAATTTGCTGATTCTGTGCGAAAATTTGAACTCGTGGCTTCCCACTGTGTGTAGGAATTTGCTGGGACTTTCTATTTCTTATCCAATCATGGAGCTATCAGGATAATTTGCACCCATTGCAAAGGGGAACCCTGCCTCCCATTTCCAAGTATCCTAGTTTTCACTTTCTCTGTTCTCATTCCCCCATCCACCATGCTGCCTTAATCTTGGGGAAATCCCTCAGTTTTCCCTGTGGCTTTCAAGGAAATGTCACTTACCTAAATCCAGGGAGCTGCCTCAGGGCCATCACCCACTCATTCGGATCCCTGTGGATGCAACGGCATCATCTTAAAAGCTGACACCAAGGGTCCCCCCCCCCCCCGCCACCAGTGTCTTTGCTCCCACAAGCAGTTCCCCTTATGTTTCTCTCCCTCCCCATTAACAACATGAAAGGAAAGCTGACTTTACTTTTAGATCTCAGCAGAACCCAACAACAAACCATCATGCTGGGTCTGGACAACTCAAGAACCTGCACTCAAGCTTTGCAGGCTATCATGCAGAAAGAATGATTTTGCTGTTGGTATATAAAATGAGGCCTTGATGGTGTTTGGATGATATCATTTTGCTGAAATCTTAAAAGCAAAGCAGACTTACCCAATCTGGGGGATTCTTAATGTGTTAACATCATTTCCCATCATCCCCATCTGAAAGGTGCTAGCTCAAGCCTTACAACAGCCATGCCAACCAGGCACCTTTCAAGATGCGATGGACTGCAATGCCCATCATTTCCAGCCCTTGACCAAGTTGGCTGGGCATGATGGGAGGTGTAGTCCAACACTTCTGGAAGGCACCCAGTTGGAGAAGACTGCCTTCCAGCTTCCAGCCGTGCTCCCTCATTTTGCTGATTACATTTTGCTGCAATTCACAACAGAAAGACTGATTTCTTTCCCCGGTGGAGCCAAACCAAATCTCTCCGTGTTGCCATTTGGAAAACGACCGTCTGATTCCACTGTGAAGAAGCCATTGTCCTCCCATGTGCCCCGCTGACTTTCTTATGAGGAGACCCGCTGCAAAATGAGTATCAGTGATGGCACTTGGATTCTCAGCTGATAGAAGGGCCACAGCCATAAATAGGAAAATCCCCAACTTACGAGTTCAAACTGTTTCTGAAAGAGAAAAACAAAACAGAGCATAAACTTCAGCAGCCCCACCTGGCCCCTCACGTGCACCCTTGTTCAGAGTGGAAACACTCCCCCAAAACAGGACCCCTCTGCCCATTCTGCCTGGTGTAGCCCTCCCCACCTTGGCATCCCCCAGACGTTTTGGCCCGCGGATCCCGTCATCCATGGACCGCACTGGCCGGGGAATGAGAAGAACTGAAGCTCAAAGCACCTGGAGAGGTTTGAAGAGGGTGGCCTAGCATGCAGAATTGTTTTTAGAGTCCAGAATGGCCCAGAACTTCTTAAAATGGACAGAAATGCCTGAAGCGTTTGGGCCTCTGTGTGAAAGAGAGAAAAACATTTCTCTTCTCCAATAGCTCATTTCAAATTGTTTTTAATGTATTGTTCATATGGTTATCCTTTCACTTGCTAGAGTTTTATATGCTTGCTGTTAAATGGTGGTTGTTTTGTATACATTTGGTTGCATTGTTTTATTTATTTATTTAGGAAGCTTCTATGCCGTCCCATTCGCCGAAGCCTCACAACAATAAATAGCAACAATATAAAAACAATATAATTGGAGACGTCCTGGCCAAAGATGTAAAATCAATAAATAATATTAACAATTAAAATGACGTTTAAATAAAAAGGTCTTGGCCTTTATATTTGTAACTTTGATTGTTTGTTGTAAGCCGCTTAGAGATTCCTGTTGGAACAGCTTAGTGGCATACAAATGCAAAAAAATCAAACAGTCAATCAATGAGCACAGCCCAAATCTGGATGCCTTGTGCCAGATGCAGTGTCTTGGTGCCAAAGGCAGGAGGAGTCTCTCTGGAACCTTAGGGGGACCCCATTTCAATTCACCCTAAAAGTCCCAGACCGTTCTCCCCCCTCCCCCTTCTTCCCCATTTTTAGCCAAATAAAAGCACTCGGTCACATTTCAGAGATCTGCAAATTGGGTAATGCCCAGCTGCAGCTGGAGGACGAGCCCCCAACATTCGGTGCCTCAGTGACTCCAGAGGACAAATCCCACCTCCCAGGAGAGAATGCATGGATCTCTGAAGCTTCTTTGGTGGAGAAGACCGCTGGTCCATCACGCCCAGACCAGCCTTCTTCAGTCAGATCAGCTTCCTGCAGTTCCTAGATCATCTTAGACACAACCCTCAGCATGGTGAGGTTACACTCCTGTTGCCAACTTGGGACCTTCCCCCTGACAAAAGAACTTCTCTAGCTGTTGCTTTAGGAAGGCAACGTGCCATACTGGACACACTTCTTGGAGTCCACCAAGGTTGCATTAAAAACAAAACAAATAACAAGCCTGTTTCCGCTTGTATTGCCTTTGGAATTGTAATGTCTTCCAATTTTGCTGATGTGTAGGGGCAGTTTCTCACAATGCCCCGTCCTAAAAGTCCTACCCACAGTCCTAAAAGTTTGCCTGGCCCCACCCAAAGTGGGTTTGTCTGTCTAGCCTGAGGAACATCAGTTCTGGGACTGATTCTGCTCCTTGCTGCCCCTTTTCTTCCTTCATTTTAAACGCATTGCAGCATCTGAGAGCGACTGACTGGGACAGTCCAGAGTTATAAAGGCTCTGATTATATTTACTTTAAATGTCTGCAATCCCTCTGGACAACAAAACAAGGCTTAGTTCCAGGTCAGTGGGTAGAACTTGAGGGCAAACATTAAGCAAACTCTTTTACTCCTCCTCAAAGTAGGTTCAAAACGCAAAGCTTCACACACTGGGAGCATTTCCTTGTTTGTTCGGTTGTAATCTATACTAAAGGGAAGGGAAGGGGAGCTGGGGCAGGGGAGAGGAAGGATACTGTTGTGGCTTGCAAAGACTGTCTAAAATTATAGTCTAGGGGCCCATCGTCTCTATCAGCTATGGGGCTGCATGCAAATGAGCTTGGTTGCCGCACTGCCCAAACCAGGAAACAAGTGCGACGGCACTTTCTGTGGGTGTTCTCCAACAACCTCCCTGGATCCTGGAGACCACCGTCCTGGCGTCAACAGCCTGCAGAGCCTTGCTCGGACAGTTCTGCATCTACTTTCCATGCCAAAGCTGCGAAGTTTGGTCTCTGGTTGAACAGGGGGACTGCGGGACCTCCACCTGAGACCTTGGAACACCACACATGGTCAGAGGAGAAGCTACTCAGTCTGTCAGATGCTTCCCACTGTGGCTCTTTGGGCCACCTCTCCCCAGTCTGGGCTGCTCCTTGGAGGACCACTGGGCCAGAGGGCCCCACATTCTGTCTCGAAGCCCCCAGCCCCAGCGACTCACATGTGCTCATAGAGTCCCTTCAGGGCTTCTTCCCATTGCTCAGAGGACCTGCCGGAGAAATGGAACACCAGATGTTCAGGCCAAGGACCACCTTCAATTTCAGGCTCTGCTTTCCAGGGCTGGGTGGGTCTCAAGGCAAAAAAGGGGGCAAGGTAGCAAAATGCCAGCATATTTTAGCTTCAAGGTCCTGGAATGGAGATATTGCAACCTTTTAAATGTCCAAATTTTCTCTCCTAGGTGATCTAAACTTCATTCCCCAGTTAACATTACAATTTTTTTTACAGATAAAAGAAAGGAAAGCAAAGAAAAAGTTACATGAAAAAGAAAGAAAAAGATCCCAAGGGAACTTAGACCAAAATTGCATATATTGCTAAGTGTGGGAAAGTACACAAAAAGTTTATTTATTTAAAATATTTATACCCTGTCCTATATGCAAAAGTGTCTCAGGGCAGCTTACAAAAATCAAAACCAACAATCCAACAATTAACGATAATTAAAAATATGCATAAAACATATGCATAAATATACATAACATTTATTTCACAAATGAAAACAAAATCCAAAACAGAAGCAAAATCAAAATGTTACTGTGAAATAGTTAAAACCAGATTAAAAGTTGGGAATTTTTATTCAAGCAATGTTATAATGACAGGTCTGACTTAATAATACTTGGCTATTTTTTTAAAAAAGCTTTAATATGGGTATCAAGTAACTAATAATTCACCATATACCGTACCCACAATCCCACCAGCAATTAATTAATAGATTTTTTTTCCTTCCCCACACCCTTGATAATTAATCGTTGATTTTTTTCCTTCCCAGTGGAAATCTCATTGTCTGCACTGGAGGCCTTGCATCCTTTGGCTTGGGTGAAATGGGTGCAAAGGCTGTGATGGAGGAAGATTTCATGAGGAAATGATGCTCTTACCCCTTTACTCTGGCAAAGCTCTGCGTAGCAATGCAGAAAATAAAATAATCAGAGGCAGACTCCTTTTACAGTGGCCAACTGGAAGCCATACCGGAAGGGGTTTGAAGGGGAGAACAGGTTCAAATTCATCCTCGCAGCATATGACCAATAAGATCTTTATCTAGGTTGGGATTCTCACAACCATCAGCAGGGGTCAGCAGTGGCTTGTGAAATGCAGCCCCAAGGTTGTCTACAGTGGTACCTCAGCTCACGGACTTAATCCATTCCAGGACCCTGGCATTGACCCAAATCGGTCGTGAGCCAAGTCCAATTTCCCCATAAGGTTCAATGTCAATACAGTCAATCCGTTCTGTAAGCATTTTTTTAAATCAGAAAAATGTGAAGCAAAGTGACAAAGAACAGCAAAGATTGTGACCATCTCCCCCCGCCCTGAGTACGATCACAGTCATATTCCTAGCCAGTCAACGCAATTGCACTCATCTTCCTTGCATGAGCACGACCGCAATCACGACCATCTCCCACTCCCACAAACACGATCGCGATTGCGGACATCTCCCCCCGAACACGACCCCGCCTTGCATGGTTGTGCTCATGCAGAGAAGGCAGGCAGGATCACGGTTGTCACCTGATGTGGAGTTCACGACCCAAGGCAAAATTTTTCAGGAATTTCTGTTTGCGACCCAATTTGGTCATGAACTGAGGCGTTCGTGAGCTGAGGCACCACAGCATCTGCAACCGGCCTCTGAAAGCGATTATCTCTGGTCAGTGGCAGGGAGAGCTTTCACCTCTTAGCAGAATGCGCAAATTTTGGGGACACAAATAATCTGAATACTCAATAATGTGAATACAGTTGGATTTGCTGGGAGATTTTGCAAGCAAGATGCTAGATCTCAAGAGGGGAGCCTGTCTGCTGAAATCTATGCTTTGTTGGTGAAAGAGCCCTGCCTGTAAAAATAATGAACAATTAACATCTCCACCCACTCCCATTTTTGAGGGGGGTGGGGAGACTGGTGAAAATTATTCCTACTCGCAATTATAGCCAAAGCACGTTGGCTTGGTCTGGAGGCACGTCACACAGGAGATGGCGTCATAGCGATTTATTCCTGCAAAGACAAGAACATGGGAAACTTGTTGAAGGAAGCAGAAGTGAAGGCTCCAGGTTTAAATTACAGAAACATAGAAGCAGAGCGAGTCAGAAGGGGTCTCCCGAGCCATCTAGTCTGACCTCCGGCTCCAGTTGGCTCCGCTCACGACACGCCCACCAGGTGCTACTGCCGTTCTTGCAATTCATGCCCATAATTCATGAATTGCAAGAACGGTGGTAGCAAAGTGGCAGAGTATGTCTGCTCACAGAATTTCGGAGGTTTAATTCTTGGCATGACTGAACAGACCCCATAAAAATCCCCTTCGGAACCATAAAGAGTACACATTACTAAACCAGATGGACTTAAGGGTCTGATTCACTAAGAGAGGGTTGGACAAGTTCATGGAAAAGGAGCAGAAAGACATGTCAGTGTCTATTGATCCTGATTCCTTTGCACTCCAGTTGCTGGGGAACATGGGTAGAAGGGTGCATTCATGTCTGGCTTTGGGCCAGCTGGTCTACATGGACCCTGGATAGGACCCAGTCGATCCCTTCATATGTTCTCATGTTTTTCCCCTTCCCCGCTTACCACAATGACGTTCACACTTTACTCTGCCTATGTGTGGGAAAGAGAGAGAGAGAGAGAGAAACCAGTTTGACAAGTTCCAGTGTGGGTTACACTATTAATTAAAATGCAACTATACTGAATGTTATTGCTGTGCACTTGGGTGGCTGGATATGGGGAAAAGTCCCTTGATTAGAAAGTAGGGCTTACTTTCAGGTAAGCATGCATAAAAATTGCACTCCTTAAAAATTTCTGATAGGTAGCAAAGAAGTTCCACAACCAACCTGGCAGAAAGAGCACATGATTTTATTTCATGTTTTATATGGAATATTTTGGGGTCGCCCTTCACTCAAGAAGTACTCAAGGAAGTCCACAAAGTAATAACAACAATAGACATAAACTACAGAAACCTACACAGACAGCTGCACTTCCAAGAAAAGAATTTACAGAAGCAAATGAGTAGCAGGAACATCTTAGGCATTCAAATCAGCTGCCAGCTTAGAAGTAGCATTCCCAAAGGCTGTTTATTTAAGAGGGCTTTTCCCTTCTCTCACATATGCAGTTTGGAATACCTCTTCTAAAATGTAGCTTTCATGAAAAGAACTTCGCATTTTTATTATTCTGGGCCTTTATACCAATTGCTGAACAGGACTTGTAATATAAAGCAAGCCATTGTGGCTTTGTAAATGTGGCTTTTATGTTTTGTACTGTATTTTAAAGTATATATTGCATCTTTATTGTGCTGCATCTGTTGTTGTAAACTGCCCAGAGAGCTTTGGCTATGGGGTGGCATAGAAACAGTATTATTACAGTTGATGATGCTGAAGCTGAACTTAAACAACAGGTAGATAGCAGGTATCATGTTAGAAGAGGAAATCAAACCAGTTGTCATCTCAGAAGAAGTATTCCTACACGTTGCTTATTTACCTTCCCCTTCACCCACACAAGCAGTTAAGAAAGCCTCTGCTAAAAGGCTGCTGCTCCAACTTGGTGGATGCATAAAGCAAAAAAGTAACTTGAGAGAAAAGAGGAGAAGCTCACTTTCAATAATGGCATTCCGTAACATTTTGATTTGCTCCTTGTAAATGGAACGCATGATTTCTGGAAGAACACCTTGGAGAGAAGAAAGAAATGCAGCAATACAAAAATGTGGGGAAAGTGACCAGTCAAGGCCAAGATTATCCACACTGCAGCTTTACATAAAAGCAAAATATAATACAAACAATTTGGATTCTACTATATGAAAGTCAAGTGTATTTACTTCTCAGTAAGCATGTAAACTATCAGATTTTATTTATTTATTTAAAACTTTTATATGCCGTCCCTTATGCATGACAGGATAGCTTACAATCATTAAAACAAACCACAATAAAACAAGCATCTTAATATAATAAATAACAATTAACCCACAAATGTAATTTAAATAAGTTAAATAAAAGTGACTGTTAAACATTAAAATTAGGTTTTGAAATAACAGTTAAATAAAAAGATTTTAACCTGGAGCCAAAAAGAGTATTAGCTTGGCACCAGGCGCACCTCTCCAGGGAGCGCATTCCATAATCTGGGTGCCACCACAGAGAAGGCCCTATTATGAGTAATGTTCTTTTTACCTCCTTCAGGGAGGGTTCCCGGAGCAGGGCCTCCCTTGCTGATCTTAAGGGGCATGAGGGCAGATAAGGAAGGAGACATTCCTTCAGGTATCCCAGTTCCAAGCTGTTCAGGGCATTATAGGTCAAAACCAGCACCTTGAATTGGGCCTGGACTTCAACTGGGAGCCATTGGAGCTGGTAGGGGACTGGCGTTCTATGAGAAGCGGCTGGTCCCCGTCAGCAGCCTGGCAGCTCTGTTCTGTACCGGCTGAAGTATCCAGACCATTTTCAAGGGCAGCCCCACGTAGAGCGTGTTACAGTCATCCAACCCGGAGGTTGCCAGAGATTATGTGCTTTCTAAGAAATTAAATGTCCATTCTTTAACGGGGATATGGGACAAAACATCACAGAGTGCTCCTGGGTTCAGTCCAGTTTTCAGTGGTGCTAAAAGCATAATAAATGATTTACTGTATGTTTTACAGTTTTTTAAATGTTACTCATAAAATAAGTAAACAATATCCATCTTGCTAAGTATAACAATACCAACCCATAAGAAGTAGTGCTTCAGCACAAGACCTGTTTATGGAATTTCATAAGAAAACACTCTATGGCTGCAAGGAGCTTGCAATGCAGAGTTTGAGACCAAGGTGGAGAACTCAGCAGAAGCTGTTAGGACGTTAAGACACAGAGAGAGGCAGAAGGAAGGCCACAACTTCAGGCAAAACCAGTTTCCCCCAGAGAGAGAGCAAAATGTAAACATAAAATTCAGAGGCAGTGAATGATGATGATGATGATGATGATGATGATGATGATTATAACATTTCTATGCCGCCCCTTGCCAAAACCTCGGGGCGGCTTACAACACGATAAAATACAATGAAATACAATAGCACATAATAAATTACCATTAAATACAAAGTACAAAAAATACATTGATTTACAAATATAAGATTAAAATTATCAGTATAAATTAAGTAAATAAAAATATAGGAGGAGAAAGAGATCCATAGCTCCAGCCCCCAGGACAAAATAAAATTAAAAATTGCACATGCCATATGCAGAATTTCTTTAAAGGACCCTGTCTCTTTTTGTTGTTGTTTAGTTGCGAAGTCGTGTCCGACCCATCGCGACCCCATGGACAACATTCCTCCAGGCCCTCCTGTCCTCTACCATCTCCCGGAGTCCACCCAAGCTCACGCCGACTCTGCCGCCCCCTTCTCCTTTTGCCATCGATTGTTCCCAGCATCAGGCTCTTCTCCAGGGAGTCCTTCCTTCTCATTAGGTGGCTGAAGAATTTGAGTTTCATCTTCAGGATCTGGCCTTCTAAAGAGTAGTCAGGGTTGATCTCCTCTAGGACTGACCAGTTTGATCGCCTTGCGGTCCAAGGGACTCGCAGGAGTCTCCTCCAGCACCACAGTTCAAAGGCCTCAATCCTTCGGCGCTCGGCCTTCCTTGTGGTCCAGCTTTCACAGCCATACATTGCAACTGGGAAAACCATTGCCTTGACTATACGCACTTCTGTCAACAGGGTAATGTCTCTGCTTTTTAGTATGCTGTCTAGATTTCTGTCTGATGCTGTCAAGGAGCAAGCGACTTTTAATTTCTTGGCTGCAGTCACCGTCTGTGGTGATCTTGGAGCCCAAGAAAATAAAATCTGTCACTACCTCGATTTCTTCCCCATCTATTTGCCACGAAGGGATAGGACTGGATGTCATGATCTTAGTTTTCCTAATGTTGAGTTTCAAGATAACTTTTGTGCTCTCCTCTTCCACCCACATCAAGAAGCTCTTTAGTTCCTCTTCACTTTCTGCCATTTCCTGTCTCTTAAGGACACTCTATTTGCAAATAGATGTATGGGCAGGAGATAGGAAGGCATTGCGTCTCAGGGGAAAACAACCTTGGGCAGAAGGACTGGGCAGGAGGGGAAATTCATGTGGACAATCCGCCAGCTAGTCGTGGGGGGGGGGGGCAGCTACAGTGCAGCTATCCATGCCTTCATTGCAACCAGTGCCAGCAAGATGGTGGAGGAAAGCACCCCAGAGATTCGGGGCCCAAAAAATTCAGCGCTCCAGCCCTAGCAGGGCAGCCTCCAAACAGCTCCTCTGCAATAGTTGAGACCTTGTCTGAAATGATGCATTAACAGATATTTTACCTGGCTTGTAGGTGTTGCGTTTGAACAAGGTGTCCAGTTTTCCGTAAACTGTGCTTGCTATGAGTTCCAGTTTCACCATGGCTGTGAGGATGGAGAGGGGTGCAGAAATGGGGAGTGGATGAAGAGCAATCACAACAGCTAATACATGCAAAGATTTGCACCCCTGCGGAAGCTGCAAAGCACTGGACCTCACTGAACTTTTCCTGCCTCAATATGCACAAGTCTTAAGTCTAAGACTCTGCGATGGTTCTGTAAGGAGTCATTTGGGGTTTTGTTGTGGAAATCCAGGCTCCAACAAACAGCTTCATGCCACAGTTAATTCCCCACATGCAGGGGAAGTTGCTATGTTGGAGCATGGCTGATCCACTCAGAAACCAGCAGGTCCCTGATCTGGAAGCAGGGATCTGAAACTGCTCACTGCTGGCATTCCCTCGCCTGCCTTTGCTGTGCGGTCGTTATTTTTATTTTATTTTATTTTATTTTCCGATTTACATCCTGCCTTTTTCCTACAAAGGGCTCAAGGCAGCTTACATCATTCTCCTCCTCCATCTTATCCCCACAACAACCACCCTGTGAGGTAGGTTGGGCTGAGAGTCTGCGGCTGGCCCAAAGTCACCCAGTTGGCTCCATGGCTGAGCGGGGACTAGAACCCAGATCGCCTGAGTCCCAGTCCCACGCTCTGAACCACGACACCACACTGGCTCTTATTTATATCGCACTGATAAAGCCAAGAGTTGGGAGTCCATCTCCCACAAGCAATTCAGGATGACAGTGGGTGTGGCCAGCAACAAAAGGGGTGGGGCCAGAATATGATGCCCTTTTTATCTAAAAACTTTCAGTGCCAGGAACTGAGCTGCTGAAGGTGCATCACAACTTTTTCTAATAGAAGAATGTGCAGCAAAGCAAGGAAAACACAAAACAATTGGCAGAGAGCTGGGAACATCTCGGATCTTGAAAGGGCTGAATGTGGCCTCAGATGCGCACATCTGCACCCTTCCCAAGCTGCGCTCTCTAAAGTAAAACAGTGCATTTCCCTGCTATGCCCTGCATAATTGGGGCTGCCAACTTTTTTCTGGCAGGGCTCCTGTGTTGCTTCTAACAGTTTCACCTGGTGTCCTTCCAGTTCCTGAGATGGACAAAATTGCATTTGTGAAGGTTATTTTCACAGGTATAGGCCCTGTTGGGCACATCCCCCCTAATATAGCCTTTTATGGTCTGAAGGGAGAGAAAGCATCTGTCCAGCTGAAGCTATTTATTTATTTATATTGTGATTTATATCCTGCCTTTTTCCTACAAAGGACTCAAGGCAGCTTACATCATCTCTCCTCCTCCATCTTATCCCCACAACAACAACCCTGTGAGGTAGGTTGGGCTGAGGGTCTGTGACTGGCCCAGAGTCCCCCAGTTGGCTCCATGGCTGAGCGGGGACGAGATCCCAGATCATCCCAGTCCCAGTCCCACGCTCTTAACCACTACACCACACTGGCTCTGGGCCTGGAGGGGAGACTTCCTGGGAACCGTATGACATATAAAGATAAATATAATAAATAAATATCGAAGAACTGTGTAGTGACAACACTTATAGAACTGCGAATTTTCAGTCCACTTGTTCTAAAAGTGTGAAATTAGATAAAATTTCATTTAAAAGCAAGCCAAACTAAATCTTTCCCTGTGGACCGCCATACAGTATATGCCCAGCTTCTTGCATGTGGACTGGTCGGTCACTGGAAGGGGACGCCAAGTCCAGTGCCCTTGGGTGGGAAATGGGGCTAATTCTGTTTGCAGGAATAGGGCAGTGAGCCGGCCATAAACATGAACATTCAGGCTTTCCCAGGCTACGCCAGCTGGGCATTGGGTGGTCATAAATCACGCTGGTCTTCTCAGGAGGTGGAAATGAAAAGCGAGCCCCTTCTTTCAGTGCAACTCACTGATCTCTGGCGGGACCCCCAGGTGTAAGTCTTCCAGCGTGTTTTGGGCCCATCCCCGCAGCATCCGACCAGCGGCGGGCACGTCCCCAAGACCCCAAGACTTGCGGCTCAAGAAGGGGGCATAGGAAGCGAAGTGGAGGGCGAAATTCGGTTCACACTGCAGGCACAGCCAGGAAGGGACGGGCCCCAAGATTAAACACACCACCAAGGCCAGGCAGGGGCTTCGGCAACCCATTCTGGGCTGGCGTCCCTTGTTCCGTCCCGTGTCATCTCCAAAGCACACAATGCAGGCATTTCACAGCAGGATAGTCTGTCTCCATGGAACCTTCCGGAACAGCCGCAACAGTTCTAGAATCTTCTTTTTTATTGGCCCAGCAATGCAGCCTGAAGCAGGGATGAAAGGTTAGGTTAGGTTATGAGAGGAGCCCTGCAGGATGGTCCAGTTTTCTCTTCCCCAAGGGACAACCAGCTGCCCCAAAAGTAAGCCCATAAGCAGAACGGGAGTGCAAAAAAGACCACCACCCATGTTCCCCAGCAACTGATGCACACAAGCATGCTACCTGCTACCTCTAACAGACATCAAGACATCAACCCATCAGGACTAGGATCCTTATCTATCCTCTTGCTCCATGAATTTACTCATTTCCTTTTTAAAGCTGTCCAGATTAACACCCATCACAGCATCTTATGGAAAGGACTTTCTTAGTTTTGTTACCAATTGCAGCACCTCAAAACACCCCAAAAGTAGTTGGCCAGAGGGAGGCCACATAGTAAAAACACCACAGTCATACTGTCCCAGAAGGGAGGGCGGATAAGAACGAAATGAACCACATCCAACACGCTAGCCTGACCTCAAATACAGAAATCAAAGGGGCAGCGGAAACTTGTTGCATGAAAGTTGCAAATGTGCAGGGAGTAAGAACACGGCAAGCCTGTGTGAACCTCGAGCAGATAAGAAACAGACGTGGGAAATGTCTGGTCCTTGAGAGAAGAAAGGACTCTTTGAAGCTAGCGGCACTGGGGGTGTGGCTGCACTGATGTATCGATGCATCAGAGGTGCATTAGGTGACCCAATTGCTTACCTAGGGTATAAAACGCATGAACTGGGGTGCAACTTTCGAGACGCTGCTTTGGGCTGAACATCCCCTTTCGTCTCTCTTTATTCTATAGTACACTAGAATAAAGCTGGTTTGGCTCTAAGTCTCGTCTCAGGCTCCTTTTGGCTCAGGTCTGGGGGGTCTAAGTCTCATCTCAGGCTCTTTTTGACTCGGGTTTGCCCTAGCTCTTGACTGGCTGAGTTCAGTAACAGTTTCTGGTGCCCAGCCTGGGGCACCGAGTGGACTACAGGTGAATTTTGCCTCAAAATTCCTAAGCCTTCTCCCTCAAAGACCCTCTTTTCGGACAGGTGGACGGCCGGCAATAGAGAGCTCTCCTTCCGCATTTGGGCTGAGGCAAATTTGGCCGGGAACCTCCGCCAGCCATGAGCAGGGCTTGAGGAAAGGTGATTGAGAGAACAACGAGACTAAGAGAGCTACCCCAGATGGAGCAAGGAGTCCCCAGGTAAGGAGAAAGACTCTGTTGGAAAGGAACAAGACCCAGTTCCTAAAGAAAGGGAGGGCCTCGGGTTAGAGTCCGGTGTTGGTTAGAGTCCAGCAAGCTGCCTTTCCCGGCCAGTGACTCCAGGGTAGGGTTGGATCCTATGGGAAGAGGCAAGATTGAGCAAAAGGAGGTTCTCCTTGGACAGAGGGGATTTTGGAAGCTTCTAGAAACTCTTGTTGGTACAGGTGGAGTGAAGTCTGGATAGTGTCCAGTTCTGGTTCGAGTCCAGAAAGAGCGGATCCTGCATCAGTACATGAGCACTTTTGACCAGGGATGCCTGGCAGAACTGACAGAAGGAAAATCAGAGAGGTCCGATGAAATCCTTCTAGGGGTCTTCTGGGGAACGCTCCGCATATCATGGGTCAGGGCAAGTCAAAACAAGTGCATACGCCTCTGGGTTGCCTTGGGGGAAATTGGGAAAGGTGCAAAGGAGATTCCATCTCAAAGAAAAAACTAAAAGTTTACTATAATTCTATTTGGCCCCAGCATCAATTGGACAGTGGGGCAGAGTGGCCACTTGCAGGATCTATCAATTTTCAGACTCTCCTACAGTTGCAACTTGACTTTCCACATACCGGTTAATGGCTCGAGCTCCTGCTCAAGCATTTGTTACATTGACAGTCTGAACTTGCTGGAAAAGTGCAGACTGATCCCCACTGGGGAGGATGCAGAAGAGACGAGGGAGAGTAGAACACACGTACGGGCTTAGAGCGTAGGTATGGGCTTTGTGGGTGGGGGGAGCTCTGGGGATTCTGCCCCCATGCCTGGGTGCAGTGGTAGCTTTCATGGCCAGGAGGGCATGAATGGGTGGTTGAATCCTAGCCCAATGGCTGCAGTTTGGAATCACCAGCCCTTCATTCCTTCAAACAGGCTACCTTTAGGATCCAGGGTAAAAAAAAGAAAGGAGGGGTTTCTCAAGCTAGCAAGTTTCTCCCTCACTCCGAGAGACGCTCAGCTTGCCATGAGGACTCTGTCCATCTGTGCCTCGATTAGCTACTCTTGAGAAAGCCATGGACCAGCCAGCCTCATTGTTTGAGGTCTGGGGTGGTCAAAAGGCTTGGGATTTGGTGTTTAAACTCTCAGTTCATAATCAGCACCACTATCCACTGTCCTCTTCCTATGTGTGCTCGTCTGTGCATGTGCTCTTTTAAAATTCCTCCACTTCTTTCTGTTTTTGTTTTGCTCAATCAAGTTTTGTTCCCCAAGCACTTAGGTGCCTGTGCAGTAAGCATTACGTACAACTCCCTGAGAATGTTGGGGGTGAGGGCCCCCCCCCATGCAGCTTTTGGAAACAGCTTTTGGAAACAACTAAGGGGGTGCATAGTTAAAAAGAAATGTACAGAAAGACAGGATGGATTTCTTTTTGGACCCTAGGGCAGTTTGCTCAGTTGTGACTGTCCCAATTGGGGTGGGTGCGGGGGGGGGCACAACAGGGAGCCTTGGCTGTGGGGGCAAAGGGCATCAGGCCACCTGCCCAGTTGTGGGGCCCTGGAGTGCTTCCTAATCATTTTTGCCTTCAAATGAGAATGCCAGGTGGGACAAAGACCCAGCTGAGTTGAACCACCCTCTCTCGGGGGAGGAGGAAATTCACCCACCTTTCTCTCAAACACTGGCTAAGGACTTATCTGAATGGACTAGAACCTTTAATGATGTTTAACTACAGTATGTGAACAATCTTTTAATTGCCACTGAGGCCACAGGCCAGTGCACATCTGCTGGATTTAGTTGGGTCCTGAGGAGAAGACGTGAACCTCACAAGAACAGGTGCAGTATTTGGGTTCCTCACTTTCAAGGGGGGAAATACCAGCTGCCTCAGGAAAGGACGGAGGCGGTTTGTCAAGCTCCCCCAAATCTATGCAGGCTTGGAAAACTGGCAGTCAGGGCTTCCTTGGGGCACTCCTGGCTGCTCCCCAGCACCAGGGCAACTCCTGGCATGGAGGTGCAAAAGTGGGGCGGGGGGGGTCCTGGGGCTGGTCCTCTCCAGCACCAGTCCTGGCAGGCACCTCTCTCCACCCTTCTGCAGCGCTGGCTGGCATCGCTCCTTCTCCGAGGCCAGAGAAGCCATGCTGGCTGCCCGGCTGTGCCTGATTGCCTGCCTGCAGTGGGTGAAGCTGCGGCCACTGGCTGGTTGCTGCCTGCGGCTCGCAATGGCACAGGGGAAGGGGGGCTGCTGGCTTACACCAGCCGACTCGCCTGAGACTGGACCGCCTGGAGACCACTGATGCAGTGGGAGGAGCGTGCCCAGGTGCCCCTCGCCACACAGCAGTGGGATCTGAGGAAGTGCCTATGTGGGCTGAGGAAAGTTCCAAAACCGCAAGGAGACTGAAGGACCGTGGAACCCATGGAGGACCTGAAGTTCCTGCTCAAACACCAACCCTGCAAGGGAGGACCAGCAGCATAACAGACCAGGATGAGAAGAAGCTGACATCAGGGTCAGCCACGGGCCTGCAACTGGAGGGAGCAAGGGGGAAGAGCCCCGAAGGAAAGCAGCCAATTGAGGACCAGGCTTGGGTCCCGGTTTGGAGACGTGAAACAAAGAGACTTGCATTTGCCTAATGCTAAGTGGCCTAGATAATATTGCTGAAGGGAAGAGGGGGAGTTTCTAGAAGCTGCTGCTTTGACTATCTCAGTGTACTTCTGATAATGTAGTTACTCCCTTCTACACCAGATGTCCTTGAAGAAAGAAAACAGTGGAATGCCCCATTTTCGGTTTTAGAGTACTGGCTCAGTGTGCAATAGAATGCTTCTGCTTCAGTAGTGCTGGTGAAAACCTAGCATGGATTTCTTGCACCTGGAAATGTCTGGATCCCCAACATTGACACAGTAAAACTGACATGCAAATTCCAGAAGGACAGGCACTGCCATCCCAGATCAGCCAAAGGAGAGTAAAAAGGAAGAATTCATATTTGACTTGGAAAGGATTCCACAGGTCCCTGGGAAAAACAGTCTCCATGTGAGGCCACTACCGGCAAGGGCCACTGAGGCACAGTGGTCTAGTTTGGTGGCGGTGGACTGGCAACATCTCTACAGCCCCCAAGAGAGCAACAGCCGATTGGCACAAGCTGGAAGAGGCCCCTGTGTGTGAGGGAGAGTTTGGTGCAGTGGCCAGCAGGTAGCTTAGTCTTTGCAAAGCTGGAAAGGTCCTGGCCTGCAGCTGGATGGGCAGCTACATGTGGAGGCTGCCTGCTATGCATTATTCACACAAATGGGGCTGGTAATAGGGTTGGTATAGCCTGGAATGCCCACTATGGGTGCAAGAGAACTTGGTGCTGCCAAAAGATGGAAGTCAGCAAATATGCCTAGCTCAACGGCCCACATTGGACATAATTGGCAAATACAAAACTCCACAGAAGAAATCCCCTACAGGGGATCTCTGAACTCAGCTTCACAACACAGGAATGCCTTCCAAACATGGAAACCACCCTGGGACCTATTGGGTTAGTAGCCAGAAGCCTTCCATGGCTTTCCCTACAGAAGGAGAGGGCACTGGATACCTTGTCCCCAATCTCTGCATTACTACAGAAGTCCCCAGGGGCGCTTGCCCAAACCGCAGAGAGGTAGTTCAAACATTGTTGGAAAACATTGCCAAAGCGGGGTAGGTGACTCATTTCTCTGTGCCATCCTTCCACCGGTTGG